TCATGTATTTATTACGTTACATTTGTGCTTTTAATAAGGCTTTTAATGACGACTTGTCTTGTAAATTTTGATACTAGTACTTCATATCTATAAATGAAGTAATGTTAACCTGCGACATATATTTCATAGACATTTTATCGCGCCTTTGTTTTTCTTTTCGAGCTTCATTACAATATGAAAATGTAATTATTTTTCCCCTCTCGTAGACTTATTAAATTCCAACAACATTTTTCGCTCTCGTTTACTCGATGCTTTTCACGTTGGAAGTTTTGCAACGTGCTACACCGTTTATTTTTCATCAAATTCTCGCTCTTTCAGGCTTATTCTTGTTAGCGTACGAGTAAGATATAACTTATAATAAACTTTATCAGAGGTGTAAAAATAGATACTCCGATATGCGCAATCTCAAATATTTGCCATTGTACATAAACAGCGATCTATGGCGGTTTGATGACCCTTGCTCACAAAACAACCGAACGGGCTGTAGGTATGTATTTGTGCGCACGTATATTTATGTATAGTAGAAGGAGAGAACAGAGAAGGAGAAAAGTAAAAAAAAAAGGGAGATAAAGGGAATAGTGCAATATAGTGACGAAGAGCGGCTGACTGTGGGGCGGAATCACGGTTTGTTGTAATTGCTCCGGCTGGCTCAACAGCTATTCGAGTCTCGCTACTGCCATTATGGTATATCTACACGAACGCACACGTACGTATACTACAAGCGCTACATATATATAACAGAAAAAAGGAAAGAGACATAGGTAGAAAGAAGGAAAACTGTGTTGCTCGCTCTTCGTTCGTATATATCGCGCTGCTCTCTCTATGTAGGGTGAGAATCATATTCCCGCGACAAGCTATAGACATAGATATATTCAGCTCTCGCGCCGTGCAGATCCGTGCGCTCGATTGCAACTTTTTACGCTTGGTTGAAGCTCACTCCTCGAATAGAAACACCCGTTGTTGCTGTTCTTGTTTACCGACGTTGTCGTCGTCGTCGTCGTAATATGCCGTCGTCGTAGAAAAAGGGAATGGCTATAGATTTTTATACTTTTTTTATTTTTTTTTATTTTATTTTTTCACTTTTATCATCTGCGAGCAAGTAAAAAAAAGAAGTATTATCGAGCGGTCGTTCTAGCATTATCCGCCTTTTGGAAAATTCATATTATATCACTGGAAAATTAATAAACTTACGTATGATAATTTTTTTTTAAATTCATCCATTTTTATGAATTGAAACGTTGAATCATCAATCGAAAAATATGAAACTAGGTAGTGCGTAAGTTGCAAAGGGGCATGAAATTGCATTTTATCGACAAAACTCCGCGTCGAGCGCGTAACCATTTTTCATGGCTCGCGTGCGTGTACGCAGAGAGTCGAGCTAGCGCATATAATTGCATCTTTTCAGAAAGTCGCAAAAAACTGTTTTTATTGCTAACCACACGTGTCGAGATGACTAGAAAACACTTGACATAGGAGCGCGCGCTAAAGTTTCCTTGTATCGCCTGTACCCGTGACGCGAGAGAAAAAAAAATTAAAGAAAATGATAAATAATGACGATACTTTTTGCGTTTCGTTCCGTGAGACGAAAATACGCATCTTACATGTTGATCACGTTTACTATAAGGAGAGAGAGAGAGAGAGAGAGAGAAAGAGAGAGAGATAGATAATAACAATTACGAACGATCACGAGCAATCGTTAAAACGTTCGAGCGCTCATTTCTAAAGCTCAGTTCTATAATAGCTAAAGCAATAGCGCTTACGAGTTATCTCAGCCAAGAACGCAGTCGATACCTATTTTTCATCTTACGTAAAAAAAAAGGAGAAAAAAAACAAGAACGATGGCAATGCCACAGTGGAAAAAAAGAAACCAAGTTGCGCCGGTGCAGCGCCTTAGATACTTCCTTTGAGATGACACATGGAAGCGCGCAGCAGAAGCGACTCATTGTTTATACGTATTATAAACGACGTCGCCGTATAGCCGCGCGCGTTCGTGTGTCTTTTTCGCTTAAATCAATTGTTCTATGAGAGATGTGGCCTTCGATTCGCGCAGCCGCGCGAGCTTCCAGCTCTACTCCATACTCCTCTCTACAACATATATATTTTATATTACAGTCTGCTCGCAAACACTTGCTTTTTTCAAAGTTCAACTCTCATGGCTGTTGTATCAGTGTGTTCTGCGCGTGAAAATAGAACGCGATATATTTCTATGCAGCTCGAGAGAGCTTGGGCACGAGCGCACACGAGCAAAGAATAACAACGGAGCGCGGTATTCTTCTTTTTTTTATGCAGAATCGGAGATGCGATTTTCATTACGTGCACGCGCCAGACTTTGCAATTTCGTATATTTTCGAAGCATCCATCTCAATCACGCGAATCGTGCAAACATAAACGAGCAGCTGGCTCTCCCCCTGGAAGCGAAAAAGAAAATTCTGCACCGCACATTCCTTGCCAGTTTAATATAATATCGACCGAAATACCCCAACTGAGATACCTATATCTATATACATTTTCTATATATATGATGTGTGTGTCTATACGCGGGTAAACAAACGTACGTGTGTGTGAGTGTATATATAAAACCATACGTCTGCTCTAATTAACAACATCGACCCACGCCGGCACTGCACTCGCTTCACTCTTCGAGCTGTGTTATTCCGTATATGTGTTATACTCATCCCAAGACCGCAGAAATGCGCACGTACCTATATATATGTGTATGTGTGTGTGTGTGTGTGTGTGTGTGTGTGTGTGTGTGCAGTCCCGCGTGTGTGCCTTGACTTAATTAATTTGTACGATTGTCATCTTAGTCGCAGAGGCGGGCGCGCTCCCCGTGCGCTCACCAGACCTCTAAGCGAGAGATGGATTATTGAAAATGAAAGTCGCAACACTCGACGGCATATAATTCCGTCTCCGAGCGCGGCTGCGGCATTAACTGCAGCTAATCATTCGAATTACGTCGAGCTCTCTATGCACGCGAGCTACATCGCGGAAATAATTCACTCTCTCCTGCGTGACACAAAATAATGCACATGCGTATACACGTATTATATACGCGCGGGTATTTTTACGAAATCGAATGTCCGCGCAGCTACGTGCAGAAATTGCCTCTGTCTGTGTACGCAACTACGCGTTTGCGTGCGAGCATGAATGAAAATCGCCATGACACATCAATTTTTTTCATCCACTTTTTTTCTCTCGCTCTCGTTTTTTCCTATACGTTCTCGCCGTGTACGGTGTCTATTTACCATTCACGTGCTGTGGATATCTGGCTCGATAGACTATATCGCACAAATATAGCTCATAACATGTGAGTTTCGTGCAAATTTTTCGAATGCTGCTCGGAAAGGCATGCCTTTTACGAGGCAACTGCTGCGGCGCTCCCGACTCGACGACAAGTCCATTTTCACTTTTTAATACATAGCCGGCATACCTCAGCTGTACGTATCGATAGCTGCACTCAATAATGTAAACAAATATTACGACGCATTACATCATCGGCCGTCGATGTGTAATAACAACATTGGAAATTGATATTTTCGTTACGTGTCTACATAACTCGATGTCATTATATTTGTCCAATCCAATTCAAAATTAGCACGATTATGAAAATCTGCACGCCTAGTAATAAGAACGCGTGAGATTTGAAAACGTGTTATGCATATTTGCCGCTATAATGTTGGATGGAGAGAGCGAGAAATAGCTGAAAGATCATTTTAGAAACGCTATAAAGAACAATAGGCCAAGTGCAGTTGCCAATGTGGTCTTCAAAAGCGCAGGCAATAGCACAAATGTTTATATAGGTATTGTATATGCATATTACGTAAACAGGTGCGTGAGCTAGCGAGCGAGCGGCAGCGCGAAACGCTAGCTATGTATGCATTTGTGATAATCGTCTCGGCTATAATCGCGCACGTTCGCGTACATGTATACGCGAGCACGCGCCGAGGAACGAATTACTCAATCCTTATGTTTACGCATGCTGGATGCAGCTGCCGATGCTGTGGATGCATTGTAAGTGCCACTTGCGGCTACATACGAAGAGATAGCTGCGTGCGTGGAATATTATGTATGTAACGTCACCCGCGGACGCGTATCCATTGGAATGCGGACGACGAGTTTTCGCTTTGCTATCACGAGGATTGCGACCGCGAGGACTTGGTCTAATATACACTTTCCACCCTCCATATAAAATATCTTTATCAAGGATGAAAAGCTCGCTTTTAACAAACCGCGTAATTCAGTATATTGTGCATGATTTTAAGTGACTAAAACAGCCACTTGTGTTAGCTAGAGGAATTTTTTATGTAACTTCTTCAATCTGCGTATTACAATTATAAAAAATAGATTGAACCAATGGCAGGTTTTATTTTTTAACCGAAGATAAGTAGTACGGCTCAGAGAAACAGGCGGCCCTTTCCGCGTATTGCTCTATTTTAACCATTTTTTAAATAATTTACAGAACAACACATTACTTTTTGCTCACAGTGTGACCATTTCCAATTCAATACCACCTTATAAACATTTTTTAGAAAAAGAGGTACCTTTTATTCGACAGTTATGATTCAACAATCATTTTATTAATTCAAAATGCATGCTTGATTTCATCAATATTAAAGTTACCTAAAAAGAAGGCAGTAACACTGTCATACATTTATTTGGTATACCTTCCGGGGTTGAATCTAACTTAAAATCAGTTACTTTGTAATGGAAATACATCATGACAAAGAGAAATAATCTGTACATCAGTACGCATTTTTATTTTGATCAAGTACTGGAAACAATAGATGATTAAAATTATGCAAAAATATAAACAAAATCTTGTTACTGAAAGAAAAAAACCGGTTATTTAAGCAAGAAGCGATATTTTAACATCCGTACATTATGTTTTTAACATAATTTGAATAATATTATGACCGAAAGTTTATTTCTATTCTTTTTAAATGCATCCAATGAATGAGTTTAGAAGTATTAATTTATATTTTTGATATTTTTTGTTTCAGATATACCAGAGATACCGGAAAATATTAAACATCTTAAAAGCTTACAACAAGCCGACTTCAGTAGCAATCCGATTCCAAAGTAAGTTGATTCTGTCTCTATAACTTTAATCGAGAAAAATAACTTTTATCAAAAACAAGTGAAGAGAACATAAAATTGAAAAGCGTTGATAAAATTTCAAATTGAAACAAAAATCCAAAAACCTTTCTGTATTCAATTAAGCTTTGCGTGGCTTGTTTTAACTCGTAAAATAGAACATAATTATATCTATAATAATGATTAGCACGGATTCAATTGAATTTATTTTGACTGGCCTGTTATGATAACAATTAATCTTTTGTTTACATAATTAAAACGTAGTCACTACCGACTTTAAAATATTACTCAATCGTTATTTATAATATGGTAAAAAACAAACGACTCTGAAATTGAGTAAAAGCTATACATTATCATGAACAATGAAAACTGAAACTGAAAAAAGGACGAACGTTTACCAGTATTAATATTTTTTTCAGGCTTCCAGCTGGGTTTGTGGAGCTAAGGAATCTTACTACCCTTGGCCTCAACGATATGTCATTATCGCACTTACCTGCAAATATTGGAGGGTAATGTATTTATTGCTAAAATCTACAATTTTCATGCTTGATCAATTACCAAATCAATCAATGTTTTGAAAATGAGTTACAATAATTTTAATACCGGACCATACAATTAAATATACTGTTTAAGTGAAAGTTCTGCAAATCATCAATAAACAAATAACTAAAATTATTGTAAAAGAGAGTTTCAAACATCAAACATTTATCCGTGTACATTCAAGCATGTTTTATTTCATAAAATATAATTACTTTACAAATATGCATGTAACGTTGTGTTTTGTTTTCAGACTCGAAGCACTGACATCGTTGGAGTTGAGAGAAAACTTACTCAAGACGTTACCCGACAGCCTGTCGCAACTTAAAAAATTGAAGAGGCTAGATCTTGGTGATAATGACATCGAAGAATTGGTAATTTTCTCTCGTTATTAAAGATATAAAAACCGTGAACTTTTTTTTAAATCATCAACTTCCGAAAGACTCTAGAAAACTTTGATTCTTTTCAAAGTATGCGTAATCGGTGGGCTTAAAGATTAAAATGATCGTAACGAAATATTTGATTTCTAACAAAAACTTGATTAATCTGCAATCACGCAATAAAAGTTGATTTTTATCGCAAAGAAAATGAACAAATAAATGATAGATTTAAGAATTCGCGCATTGTTATTTTGACGATGAAACTTGAATCGTGAATTTTGTAGCCACCACACATTGGCAGACTCGAATCGCTGGAGGAGCTCTGGCTGGATCACAATCAACTTCAGGCGCTTCCGTCAGACATCGGTGAACTGAAAAGACTTATGTGTCTAGACGTTTCGGAAAATCGGCTAGAAATTATTCCCGATGAAATTGGTGGACTCGAGAGCCTCACCGATTTGCATCTGTCGCAAAATAATCTCGAAAAATTGCCCGACGGTCTCGGTGATTTGGGTAATCTGATGATTCTCAAAGTGGACCAGAACAGACTGACCGCGCTCAATCACAATATCGGCCGCTGCACCCAGCTACAAGAGCTCATACTTACGGAGAACTTTTTACTCGAACTGCCCTCGACGATAGGCAAGCTTGTTAATCTCAACAATCTCGCCATCGATAGGAATAGCTTGCAGAGTCTGCCTGCGGAAATTGGTACGTGCAGTTTGTTTTACTCTCGAGGTGTTGTTTCGCTCACAGCGAAATTTGCGTAGTAATCTTTGAGATCAAAGTTTTGCTTCAAGTTCAAATTTCTAATTTGTTTTCATTATTTTATAGTGAAATTTTGACCCTATTATATTATCTTCATTAAAAACTGTGCCAACTCTCGATGACAAAGGTTTACGCGCCCTCGATCACGAGAGCAAGTTCGAAGAGGACCACTAAATCTAAATAACCACGTTTATCTTTTTATTCCTTCTCGCGCGTCTCGAACGCTTACAGGCAATTTGAAAAGGCTCGGTGTACTATCGCTGAGAGACAACAGATTGCAGTACCTGCCATCGGAAGTCGGCCAATGCAGTCAACTTCACGTGCTCGATGTGTCAGGCAATCGACTACAATATCTGCCCTACTCGCTCGTCAATCTCAATCTCAAGGCCGTGTGGTTGAGCGAAAATCAAGCTCAGCCTATGCTGACTTTCCAAACCGACATGGACGAAGAAACCGGAGAGGAAGTTCTTACGTGCTTCCTACTGCCACAGCAAGAGTTCCATCCAAACGGTAAGATCTATTTTTTTTTGTTGCCTGTAATTTCGCGAGCCTCTCGTTGCTGTGTACTACGACATTGAAACTCGTGTTTAATTGGACAATGATGTAACTGTAATTAAGAAAAACTAGCCTTGACGAATCATGCTCAATTGTATATACAGAGAGCTCGAGACTGGGTATGATGGTGAGCATGAAAAACAGCACGATGCAGTCTTCGCTGGGTGGCGGTGAGATGCGCGAAGTCGGCGGCAACAGCAGCGACGAGGAAAATTGGTCGTCGCCAGCGGAACGTGATCAGAACAGAAGTCATTCAGTCAAGTTTTCCGACGAGCCACCTGAAGCTGACAAAGAGGTGAGCGATTATAGACGGTCGGATATCATCATCGTATTAACTTGCCGCCTTCCTATACTAACTTCTCCTTTCAAACTCTTGTCGACGCTTATTCATTCGATCAGTAATGATTACGATAATATGAATTATTCATTTTTTTTCACTTGACCCTTTTCGGTTGTCTCTTAATTATTTAGACATTATTATTATTCAATATCTTGACAATTTTATAGTATTCACTATTATATCTATATGTGTGTTTTCTGCGAGCATGACTCGTGCAAACGCCTGAATCGCATTTCTATCTGTCAGCTATATATTTATATTATATCACCACACATCAATAATATATTGAATGTTCGGTAATTGCTGCTATTGGCTATAAACATTACATGCATTTACTTTTTTTGCACATGTACACACTGTTTGGTTCCGCGAGACGATTTTTATGTTCATCTGTTATTGAACGAAGATGGTATATCACACTTAAGTATTGTTGTAGCTCTGAAGATTCATATCACAATCTTTTAAGTAATTTCAGTGTCATATTGTTATATTTAACATATATATACCCTATACGAAAAAAGATATTTTGTGTATCGTATCTTCAGTGCAGTACTGGGGTTTTTAGCATATTTTGAAATTGGACCAGAATTCAGCATAACGTGAATACATTAGAAGCGCACGCTGTGCAATATATACAACAATTTAAAGGAGCCTATAATATAAGCTTCGGCTTATTGATTAGTAAAATCATTGCCGCTGAAACCGAGCGAAGATTTAGAATTTCCGCAATTGCGAATCATCTCTTTTTTTGATGAATCATGAAGATGTATTTTTATTTATTAATCATTCACTCTATATAGCGCAACGTTTTATCTATCATCCAAGTGCACAATTCATCGTAAAAACGATTGCTAATTGCAAAAATTAGAATAGTAATGATTTTTCAGGTTAAATATCGGTATCTCTTCTCTTGGTGCCTCGGTGGTACCATGTGAGCGATTTACTTGACGCAGGTATCTAGTGCATCTACCATAATAAAATGTTTAGTTCAGTGTTTACTATTATACATATACTTTATAAATATATGTATATTTACTTATATTAGTGTTCCTTAATTTATTCTTACATTTTTTACGTTCTCCCTCCTTTCCTAAAATTGCTTACATATGTCATATAATTTCGTCAGAATACTATTAAAAAATTCTTGTTTAACTTATTGTGCACACTCCAATTCGTTGAGAGTCGATATTTTTTTATTTCAACAATTTTCAACTCGAAAAGCAAACGCTTACCGTAAAAAATTTTCTAAAAGTGTTTAGAATCGTTCGAAGCATATGCCTGAATTATATTAGTACCTATTTTTCGGATAAATTTTGGATTTTTTTAAAAAATCAATAGACCGGAACATGTTACATTTTTTAATTGACATTCTGCAATATTTTATGACATATTAAAGCAAATTTAGGAATGGGGAATGGGGTAATGAAAAATAAAAATAAATTAATAGACACTTTAATATATATTATACATATATAGTTGTTTTTTATAATCACTACGGTAATGCATTGACGATACGATATGCTCCTGCTGTTTTATACACATAAATATACGTATATGTAAATATGCATATTTATATTTATGTATACATATATATTCTTTAGAGTAGTGATAGACTTTTCAAACTCTCTTCAATAAAAAAAATGTTCTGGAATATTTTTTCTGCAGTATTTATAGGATCTATATATTAATGTGCGTGTGTCGAACATTTGCATGTGATATTTATACGTTACATATCGATCTAAAATTAGAGCACGTTAATTTAATTTATTTATGTTAGATTTGACATTCATGAAATATTATATTTCTCAAAGCACCATTACCACTCACTCTTGTACAATACAAGATATCATGTGATGACGTTCAAAAAAATAAGTTAGCTAATAGATATTATCCCATGACCAATCCTATCTGTAACTCCACATTTTCATTAAAAATCGGCTCCATGGACTAACATCTCTCGTAAGCATCAATCGCAGCCATAATCAGAGGAAAAATAATAAGTAGTCATTTTAAGCGAAAAAAGCAAGCGTACATTAAGTTTTAAGTAAGAGAAAAAGAAACTACTACTAGACAAATACCAAAATGTTTCCCCACAGACTCCGTTCGTGAGACAGAATACTCCTCATCCGAAAGAGTTGAAAGCCAAAGCTCACAAACTTTTTGCCAAGGGAAAAAACGATACCTCGACAGATGAACAGGTCAGTATTAAACGTTGTCTCCTTCATCCTCTTTTACATTTTTGCCTAAATCTAAATCTTGTTCGATATATATATCGTCGTATAAATGTTTGTAATTATTGATTAAACTTCGCGAGCACTTGATCTAAATATTTAGAATTGCATCGTGAGATGTTAATATTGCACATCGACAACTTCGTACAGACATACCTCTGTTAGTATACGTTATCTTTATTATGTTGAATTACACTGTCTATCGATGATTAGAAGTAGGAAAGAATTATCGAAAATACGAGACTTCCGGTAAAAAAAAAAATCATAATTACAAATTCAAACTACGAAACACACAAAAAAACTGAACGAATGTCAAACAGGACGTATCGGTGACATTTGGTTTGGACAAACTTCAGCAGGAAGAGTTGCAACAGCAGGAACAACGGACCCAAGAGCCGGTGAAAATAGAAACGGCGGTGGCGATTAACGGCACACCCGGACAAACTGCCAGTAGCAAACCCGAGGCCATCGGTGTAAGTACATCAATGTCTAATCGTAGTAATTTTTCATACTCCTTCTTAAACATTCTACTTTGTATATATACCTATATGCTACTCTAACGCTCTTCCTGGCATATTTAACTCGTAACCTTAATCACTATTAACTTGAATTCAACTCCAGTAAGGCAAGAGAAGATCGCATCCTCTTCAAATACAATCTCGCACTTATGTTTTAAGTTATATAAGCTTATTAAGCAAATACTCTTTTTTAATACTACAATTTCCATAAATATCATTGTTTCACTGCTGTAATTTATATTCAGAAAATTCTACCATGAATAAATTGACAGTACTTTGTTCTCTAAAGAATATAAATCATTTTACTTTTGTTGAACTTGATTACTTTACGACTAATAAACAGAATACAAGCCATAAATTCAATAAATGAAAAATTACATTAGGTTTTTAGCTGTTAAAGGATTATAATGTTTGATTAATCAGATTCAAAGTAATCCTCGGGTTGTGGGTAGAGATTTAAGAATATCCCATAAACTCAAGCAAAGTACCAATGCACGATCTTAAATATATATACATCTACTCGAGTTTGTGTATTTATTACACGTAAACAGTAGCTTGAAGTCGAAAGAAAAAAGGGTAAAGACATGTCTCGATTTAAAGGCTCAGAATTGTTGCATCTCATTAATAAATTATTATAAACGGAGATAGCATGAAAAAAAAAACAAAAAAAAAAATTACAGACGATGGGTTCGTCGCATGACTGCCACAATGACGAGGATGATAATGGCAACGATCAGGACTACGAAGATGATGATGATCAGAGGAGACACGTAGATTTTGTCTTGAGCGAGGATCAAACCGACGATGAAAGTAACGCGGGTAAACCGAACCGTCTACATCGTCGAGATACCCCGCATCATTTGAAAAACAAAAGAATACATGCTCCCGTCGACAAGGATAAAGTTGCTTCGATTATTGCTCAGGTCCGTTGGCCAATCTTCTTTGCATAGTGGCGTCCATTGTATATATCGATTAGCAGTCATCAATAAAAAAAAAATGATGGATCGATGTTTTTCTCAATTTTAGTCACATTTTTGTTAGCTTATACGCGATTTTATCATCACATTTTTTACATTATTTAACGCACTTTTAACGATGGAAGTTACATTTCAAGTCTTATTTCATAAATAATTTTTTTCTTGTTCACGAGCATTTATTAGAAAATAAAAAGAAATTGCCGAATTAATTTTTGCAGACAATCAGTGACGTATATCTGCCAAGAGTATAAAAAACATTACTTTACGCTTATTTATAAAACACACAAATGCATTATGAAAGAATCGGCTTTTATTTACAATTATTCTGTTTTCTTTTACGTCGTCGTCAATAAGCTGTATAAATAAACACATGAGATTGACCCAATAAATTCATATACACGCGTATACGTCCTCACACGTACACACATTGTGAGATGAAAGGCCAAACATCATGCACGTCAACGACAATAATGATTGAAAAAAATCTCGGAATTTTCTTTTTATTCTTCGTTACTCGTCACGAATACAAAGTTTTTTATCAATTTTCAAAATATGTGTATCCCAAATTACTTACATACTGATACACACATACTCGCGCGCGTGCATCTAGACCCACATCTAAACACATTCGAAAAATTATGTTTCTCTTGTCGTGCTTTTCTCTATAACTTTTAAAAACTCTCTTTTTTTACATGCCAAGGGCGAACAAACTATGATAAAGATTTGAAAATGAGATATACAATATAGGCGCTTTACATATCTTTCATTTATGATAGTTTTTTTATAAATAGATTATTCCTGTATGGCACAAGGGAATAATAATCCTATGGTGGATATTAATTACATATTCACACATATGAGCATGCATTAATTTTTATACATGTACATTTCAATTGCATCATACTGCCAATGTATTTAAATTTAGTTTTTTAATGAACTTAAGATTGTTTGTTATTATATACATAGTGCAACATATATGTATATATTTAGAGCTGTGTTTTGGTACTCTTGCATCGTTTGCATTTTGACGAAATCACTCTGTTCTGCACATTTATATACTACTATTATTCATTGATCTTAATATGCTTAAAATTTACAACTTTTTGACTTGACAAATGCAGCTATGCTCTACGCCTATATAAATTGTATAAGCGCATTAGCTTTAAACTTCGCATACATTCATGAATGATAAGCATGTTTAATCTACTCATTTACGTTTCTGTTAAGATTAATGTTACTTACAGAAATTTATAGAAAATTAATATTTTTTCTCAATTTCTTAAAACAATAATTTCTTTTTCCACCCAAACTTAAATAATTTTGAAATAATTTTTTTTCGCGTATTCTTAATTATGTGCGTGAGTGCGTGTGTATGTGTAAGAGCGTGACAAATACTCATTCGAATTCATAATTTGTATATTCAATGAAAGGTGTGTTGCTATCGTGTGTGTGCGTGAGTACTTTAAAAACAGTTACAAAAATAAATATTCGTTCTTTTTGATTGTTACTCTAGGCTTTGAAGAAAAAAGCGGACGAAACAACTGTACCGCCATCGGCAGGTGCTACAATGACAACTACTGGCTACGTTGCGACGTACGGTGAAACGGAAAATGTCGATGGGAATAGTCAAGGTACAGTGGATACACGCGTACCTTTCCTCCTCTATCACAAAGAGTGCGGTCGGTCTTTTTATGGTATACGTGCTCGTTGATCGAGCTTTCTATTTTACTCGCGAGGAAAAAATTCGGGAAAAGCTATAGCGGGTTTGGCTCGAGCATCCGTGGTACATCGGGGCACAACGGCAACCTAAAAGCCTCGATGCACGAGGGCTCGAATGTTTATTCGGGTAAAGGCCGCCACAAATTGAATCGAAGCGCGCAGCTTACATAAACAGGAAATAAAAGCCTCTCAATTCTGACGTTGAAATTCCGCTATCAAAATCGATTCCTGCTCTATACGTCGGTATACCGTACACGCGAGATAATAAAATTTACAACAAAATGTGGAACGCGATGCATATATGCATACACACACACACACACCTTTTAACGTCCCATAATGAACCTACATAGCCCTCGCGATTCACCATTACAACTCGCTCGTCTCTCGTACTTCACCGCACTCGCGCACGTACATATCCAGATATAGAAGCCCGATAAGATATTATCTTATCGCTATGAGTATACGCGAAGGTATATGTGCGTGCTGCATTCGTCTACATACGGATGATATGGTATATTCGCTCGTGCAACGAGTTATTACTCATTGCCGTCTCAGTATAATACGGTGGCTTTTCGCGCACGGAAGCACGAGCCAGGCCAAGAATTTCATACGCGTATATTGAGACGTAGAGCGCGCACGTACACCAACATGCCGCGAATGTACAGACTTTACGTGAAAAGTCACAAAGCGAGGAGGAAGAAAAAATACTCATCTCGTCGATGTATGCCTTTCTATTCGTTTTATTCATTTTTTCTAATCGATTGTATTGTGTGCCAATGTATGATTGTGTGCCAATGTATGATTGTGTGCCAATTAATTAATCTCGTATCAATATGTTAATTAGGTGCATTGTCGGATACCGAACCATCGGTTGAGATCAGAGAGGAGCAATACGAGATACATATCGAACGAACTACCGGTGGACTTGGACTCTCGATAGCAGGTGGTATCGGTTCAACGCCCTTCCGAGGCGATGATGAGGGTATCTTCATTTCCAAAGTGACAGAAGGTAAGTTTGTTTGCTTGGGCTTTGATAAAAGTCTCGTATATTGTCTGCGATCTTACTACGTCTTCCACACATTGCTCTAGTAAATAAGAGTATTTTAAAGCGGCATCTTTCTGTTCGTTAAGTCCATTGATGGATGTAATAAACTCAAGTTTAAACAAGAAAAATATTCTTATCTTAGGCGAAAAATTCGAGAAATTTCTTATGGAAACAATCGTGAGTCTTGGAATCGTTCGAAAGTGTTTAATCCGATGATGTCATCGAAAAATTATTTCATATCCTCTAAACGTTTGTTTTCATTCTCGAACAATGTATTGAGCGTAGGTGTTTGTGTATGCCATCGGATTAAATGTATTATATTACAGTATTGCTTTTTTTTTAATGCGCGTAATATAATCTCTAACACTCGATACTAAAACTAAAACAATTCGTCTACAGGTGGTCCAGCCGATTTGGCAGGCTTGAGAGTCGGTGACAAAGTATTATCTGTCAATGGCATATCGGTTATCAGCGTGGATCACTATGACGCCGTTGAGGTTTTGAAAGCGTGTGGCCGTGTGCTCGTCTTGGTCATTTTGCGCGAGGTCACAAGAATTGTACCGCCATCCGAACAGGTAAGCATATCGATATTTTAAAACACAATGGCATATGATAATTTCAGCTGTTTAAATGCGATTAGTTGCCACTGGTTTTTTTATTATTACTTTTTAACAAGAGTACCGCAGTCTGATGGGAGTAGTTGGTTATAGTTTGAGAATTCATTAATTTGTGCATCATGACAACATAATAGTAAAATTACTTCCTAATTTATGTTGTTTTTTGTTTTTATCTTTAGTATCTTAATGTTAAATAATTTTAATCGTAGCATGAATAATTTTTTATGTTTTTTTTTACATTTTGTAGTAATGCTTTTTGATCTTAACATTCATTCACAAGCGTGATTTTGACTAATTATACGTATCCTCGACTTCAAAATTATGAGATGAAGCAAATAACTTTATTTAAAAATCATTTTTCACAAAAAAGTAAACAAAATACTTCATCGATTAAATTAATTTCTCATTTATTAAATGAAGACTTTTAAAGTGTATAAACAAATTTTGAAAAAAATAACTTGTTATACATATGATATTAAAAACAAGTGCTAAACGAACAAAAATTTCCAACTATCCAGCTATCCCTCAGAAAAGATTCGGTGTGTTCAAGTATGAGCACAAGTCGAGCACCCAGTGCGACGTCTTATGTCTCTTCAACCACATATTCTCATAATCTCGAGAATGGTGATGCCGATGAAACGATAAAGGTTGATAAAAAAACAATAGAAACTTTCTCTCTTCAAATTCAGAATGAATTTCAACTAAATATTCTTACGTGTATTTTCACAGAAAAAGATTCCTGAGCCTTTGCCGGCGATCAAAACTCCCGCTTACGACCCCTTAGTGCCCGTATTGGTTCACACGACTCTGATCAGAGATCAAAATGGATTAGGCTTTAGCATTGCCGGTGGTAAAGGATCGCCTCCTCATAAGCCAAATAGTGAAGCCATATTCATATCGAAATTGACCGAAGGTGGAGTTGCCCAAAGGGATGGAAAATTATGTGTTGGCGATAAAATTGTATCTGTAAGTAAAGGATATCTAGCAATATTTAATAAGTAAAGCATAATCTTACCAGGATTCGAGTTTTATTTTATTTTATTTTTTGTTTTTACTAGATAAACGGCGTCGAAATGACAGATGCTCGCCACGAACAGGCGGTCACTCTGTTGACTGGATTGGAGAGATTCGTACGATTGGTCGTTGAACGCGAGATACCCTTCTCTCAAGCAAGTCCAGCTAACTTGACGCCGTCGTCGACAGAAAAGTCACCACTTGTAATCGGTGCGCCAAAACCCTATACTGGACTCTACAGCGCCAACAGTTATATGGCCAATCGGCCAGGATACTTTCGTCGCTCGATCGACGCTGATAAGACCTTGTCAGCGGCCACTAGTCCAGTTTCCAAGAGTACATCGGCTACTTCGCCACCACCCTCTGTAACAACACCGACTCCGGCAACGGCCCCGGTCAATGGCATTGCCAAGATGAATGGCCAATTGGACGACTCAAAAAAAACGAGTCCAAGTAGTCAACTACCACCACCTCCACCTCATCCTCAACCAGCTCCCAGGCAGAATTTTGGTGCTAGCCAGCCTCAATCGAAAACACAGTCCCCAACGGCGGCCACGCCCAGTCCTCCTGGTGACGAGCCGAAAATTCAAGATTCAGAGATTCAGGTACCGAAGCCTATCACCAACGAGGATTTTCAGGCCATGATTCCCGAACATTTCCTTCATCATCGTACTACTACTGTTGCCCATCATCAAAACAACATCAACACAAACAATACCCCGAATTCGTCCTCACCCTCGCCAGATCAATCCTCTCAAAAAGCTACGGGGCCCACCGTCACTGTGACGATCAAACAGCCCGAGACCGGATTGCCCGGGGACTTACACTTTCCTCCGGCACCTACGACAATTGGTAAAGTTACTGAAACCATCACTAAGAGCACGCTCACCGAGACGGTCGTGACGCGCGTCACCGATAACCAGCTCGTGAGGCCGCTCATCATCGAGGTACGTGTTCTCTCTCGACACTCTCACAGCGCAACACGCAAAAATTACTTTTTTTTCGCAAATTTTTCAGCGATAGTATAGAAATAATTACTTTTCTCTGTAATCTTAGAATGCCGATCAACATTCGAGTGCTTATTTTACTTTTTTCTAGAATTCACATCGTGCGTGATTTAAAATTTGGTTAAGGGTGCTCTTATGGGTTTATTTTTGGAATGGATCTATAGATTTGCATGTAATTTTAGCGTACTTTTATATTTATCACAGTTTAGAAGAATGTTTTATTTGATTTGGAAAGTAATCATTTATATCAAATGAGCACTCTGATAAAATAGTGATTCATAGTTGAACAATCAAAAACAACAAGTTTGATTAGATTCAAAATATAAAGTATATTTTAATTGCACACTTCTAAAATCATTATTAGCAAAGGCGTTGAAAGAGACTCTTTACAAGGTAAAATAAAAATTCATCCCCCCAATCACTAGCTCACGTAGACCAATTCTGGTAATAGATAATACTTTCATACTGTAAGAAATAACAGAACACGAGTACTCTCCGCCATCATTGGTAGATGTAAATACAAATTTCATCGTATACGTTTCTTTACCATTGTCCACAAAACCACCCGTTCCGTCCAAAAACCTGGCCATACGACATTTTTCTTTAATTGCTTATATTGAGTTATTTGTGTGTTTCTCATAGCGTTACTTGACAAAGTGCGCGATTTGTAAATTATACACCATTTTTAATTGGACTTGATAATAGGATTAATTAAAATTTTTTGAAACTATTTTTATTATATTCTCATTTTACAGGACGTTATTCTCATAAAAGAGGGTTCACTTGGCTTTAGCATAATCGGAGGAACAAATCATTCCTGCACGCCATTTGGTTCAAAGGAACCAGGAATTTTTATATCTCATGTAAGGATTTATCATTATAACACTTGCGTATTTTGTAATAATTTAATTTTTAAAAACAAAATTAATTATTAGATTGTCCCTGGCGGGATTGCGGCCAAATCTGGAAAGTTGCGAATGGGTGATAGAATATTAAAAGTTAATGGTACCGATATAACCAAAGCGACTCATCAAGAGGCTGTGACGGAACTTCTGCGATCTGGCGATCAAATAATTTTAACAATTCAACATGATCCCTTACCAGATGATTACCAGGTAAAATTTCTATTTAGAAATCTATACAATAATAGAAATCTATACATACATTTGGCTTGTAGAGCTTCAATAGCAAAAAGTCACGTCTGCTGCTATAGTCTAATTAGTTTTAAAGCAAAACACTTAGGTATTGAAAATATGAAACAAAATGCTATCTACTGAAATGATGAATTCTATAACAAATCTTCATTTTCACTTTACTCGGATAACTCTTCACTAATTGCATGGCTTAAATAGATGAAAATTGCATTTTCTCAATTAATTTGTTTCTAGATGAAAAAGTAATCATAAGTAGATTAAATCTATATTATTAATTTGGAACTTTGCGCTCTAGATATATGCATAAATTAATAGAGTATCTTATACATGTTATTTTTTGTCAACTTTTGAGAAAGATTTACAACTTAGAAATTGTTCTTCAAGTCAAAAATAAATTGCTCTCTTTTTGAATGAAAATAGACTATGATCATTCATTCGTCATTTTCAAAGTTTTTAATATACACTGCGGTTACATTTCCTAATGCAACTGCTTATAATTCAATTTCACAAGCTGGTCGATATAGAGTACATCCCTGTGACAGTAAGTACTCTGAGAAACGTTTGCCCCTTGTGTATAAATATCCCTAAATTTTGCACATACTCTGATCTTTTCATAGCAATATTAAGTATAGTCATGATCTTTCACACTATATCATCAAATAATTTCTACTTACATTAGAAAACATGTACCATAGGTTTTAATTATTTTAGATTGCATATGTACAGCTTTGTGAGTGTTATATATTACAATCACTACCATACTCCATCATTCATGTATTTACTCAATACTCATTTATTACAATCATATTTTTTTAAATAATTATACTATTTTTAATAATTTTTCATGTTAAAAATACATGGTTTAATGATAATTTTACTATTACGATATCAATCATTGATGAAACTATTACAATTTTTAGGAACTCGTCATTATAAAAGAGCCTGGAGAAAAATTGGGAATGCACATTAAAGGTGGCTTAAAAGGTCAACGTGGCAATCCTAAAGATGCAAATGACGAAGGAGTGTTCATTTCTAAAATCAATTCCGGTGGAGCTGCAAAACGCGATGGTAGATTAAAGGTAAATAATTTTTATATATCTCTTGTTATAGTTGACTAAAAATATGCGAATGGTTTAATTAAATTTTTACTTTCACTTACAGGTTGGCATGCGATTACTTGAAGTCAATGGCACATCGTTGCTTGGTGCAACACATCAGGAAGCTGTGAATATTTTGCGAAGTTCTGGAAATGCTATTACCCTAGTTGTTTGCAAAGGTTACGATAAGTCCGAAATGCAAGATTCGACAATGTCAATCTCTGGACGAGAATCCAAAGAATCAAAAGCTTCATCAAAAGAATCGAAAGATACCATAACTGCAGATGATGCAAAATCGTTGTCCCAGAGCGTCTCCAGTCTCGATAGAGATGATGAGGAGGCGGCAACTTTGCGACAAGAGCAAGAAATGAAAGCAGAAATGGTTGCTTGGGAGCAAGAAGATAGAGAACGTGCTCTGCTAGAGCAAAGAGGAAAAATAACTCCAGACAAAGTACGAATCACCAGAAAATCTCTAACGATTTTAGAAAAATATGTTTCATTTTTACGATATTCTTTCAGGTTCTTGATATTGTGAGAGCAGCCGAATCGCTTGTTATCAAACCCAGCAGTCCTGTAGACTCCACAACACCTATTCCTCCCAAGTCTCCCGGTGGTACAAAAGACTTAAAGACGACGACAATCGTAATGAGTAAACATACGCTAGCACCACAAACACCACCGGTAAGTCATTTATGATTGTTAACTATATCATCTTGCTTTCGGCTTTTTTAATTAACCATGTAATCATTAAACGGCATGAACACAAAACGCATGAATTTTCATTTTACTACACTTTGGTATCTTCATTTTTAACATTTATTTTAACTCCTTTATAATTGGTAACTCTTTTAAAAATGATTCAACCAGTAATTACCAAAACCCAACTTTTCCCACCCAATAAAAACTAAAGAAATTATTTGTTATACCTTCATTATTTAACTTTTATGAACACATGATCGCCCAAGAAGTATTATCGTACATAATTTATGTAGACAATACAAAAACTTTATTTTCTTCTTGAATTTATGAAATTCAAATTAGCGCTTAAGTATAAAATATAGAATAATATTTTTTTGCGCTTTATTAGTAGCTTGCATTACAACAAATAATATGGAAACATGCCATAAAATGTACATTATTTAAGTTATTTTAAGTTTGAGAAAATAGATTGATGTTACCATTGCATCATTTTTTACCATTATTCGATGTTCAATTATCTTTATGTCTAAATGAATATAAAAAAATTTATAAATGATTAGCAGTATATAACGAGTTTTTCTCAGAAATGAGGTAATTCTGTTGATATAAATCACTCCAATTCATAGTTACGAAGCCATTATTATATGCATATGTTAATATTAATTGTTATACATTCGAACCATGTTTTTTTGTATTATCTTTCGTTACAAGCCATTCGATCTAAATGTTGATTGTTTTTCAAATGCAATCACATCTACTAAAGAATATCGCATGAAAAATCAGTGTTTTTATCAACATGTTTAGAGGGGTGATATTTATTTATCAAGTTGCATAAAACCTCGCTCCTGAATTTTTTCAGTTCGTTTGAATTTGAAAATAAAAAAACTCTTAGCTATAACCCTTTCATATAGTCGTTAAACTGAGTACTAGCGGAGAACGTTATTTTTGAAATTCAAAAATGTCCTGGGAAATTTTCGATTATTCGATCTTCTCATTTTTTACCTAAATTCATTATTTTTCGAATTCAAAAATCGCAAAGATTAAAAATGGGATAGTGCAAAGAAAGTATCAAAAATCATTTCAAATGTTAAAACACCACGTTTTTAATCTTTAAGTTTACATTTTTTTAAAAATTGTTTAAGGATATTTTGAAATTTCAAAAATGCATTCTGGACTAGCTACACAGTTTAATGGACATATATACTCAAACAGGCCGTAGCTAGTGCGTATTTCATTTTTAAATTCAGACAAAGTAAATAAAGTTTAGAAGCAAGATCTCAAATAATTTCATAAATAAGTGCCGTCCTAATGTTTAGATGTAGTAATCACCATGAAGCATGTGATCAGCAAGCTGTAAATCATGTTATGAAAGGAGTTCCCTGTATAAAAATGAAAAGAAAACAAAGCGACCCGATATCTTTTTACACGTCTTTTCCAGACGATGGAAGGTGACAGCGCACAACTGACTGCTCGTTAATTCTAGTGAACTTGTCCTCGTGAATCCTCGCCTCCTTCGCCTTGATGACGAAAATAATATAAATGAACAATTTTGATAATCAATGAACTTCTCTTCGTGATTTACAATAGACAAAAAGTGTGAACTGTTTTATCGTGTTAAATCAAACGTGAAAAAACGCGTGAATATTTATACAAACCTTAAGAAAGTCTGTGACTAAAGTTACTGATTTATTTAAAATACATGAATATATGATGCTTGTTATGGTATGGTCTATACTTTATATAATGAATGACTACGTGTAAATCAAACTACTGCCACTTTTCATTGATAAATATTCGCACAGAAGACTAAACTTTTCGCAAAATGTGAAGATCGTTTTTCCTCATTCTAACAAAGCAATCATGATAAAAGTTGTGTGATACACGTATAAATTATAAAACAAATGGTCAAAATCTCCTTAATTATTCAAAGAACAGATTTCTTGAGATGCAAGAAGATTTTTTTCATTATATAATATAGATGTATTGAGGAAAATTGCAAATCAAAATGTATAATACTTAAATGATTTTTAATAATTTTTTTATGCGAAAAAATGTTGATTAATGAATGTTGTCACAACTTGCTTGCGAATGTTAAATAATTCTTTTGGTAAAAATAGAAAATGAATGAAACTGGAAGTTCTCTCTTCTGTGATAGATGTGTAATTAGAGAAAGAGTGTACATTTTTTGAAGATCTGTTTGACTTATAAATAAGTCATTATTTTTATCTGATTGAAGAAAAAGAGCAAGTACGTGGGCTCTCGCGGATGCCTTAGACACATGTTAACTACCATAACACAAGTATACCAACCCTTTTATGCCTGAAATGTCTAATTTCAATATCACATTCTTTTTTTTTTTTTTATATCGTGTCTGAAAATAAACCCAATAGATAGAATGGCTTCCACAACATGAACGGTTAGTTTTTTTTAACGATTATCGTAATTATTTTGTAACATTTAATGATTATAGCTGTTATTTTTAAATAACAGAATAGTATCTTAATCTTAATAAAACAGTTACGATAATTGAATACTATTAAGTAATTGTAAAGACCTTTCAGAAAGCAAATCATCCATATACTGGAAACCCGTCTACCTATTTGGATGGTTACTCTATAACTCGTGACAATACAGTACATTGATCATTGTTAGGTATCAAAGGGTGTCAATTTAAAATTAGTCTATTCATGAAGTGGAATCTCATTCAAAATATTTCTCGACGTCATTCGATAATTTTTATGCTAACATATTTTTGGTTTCGGCAGAATTCAATTCGAGAAATGTGTTGAATTTAAACTAACTTTAATGAGTAATAGTTAGTAAGGTGACGTGTGTCAGTATAGTTTTTCGTTTGTTAAAAACTGTTTAAATTTCGATTGTCGTTGAATCGATTAATCGAAATTAATGTTTAAACCGATGAAAATTGTAGATATCCATACGTAAAAAAATTTGAGATTCAATATAAATTATAACACTTCATCGCAAATATTCTATAAATGTTGCATATGATTGAATATCTATAAAGAAATGAACCCAAACGGACCAATGTTTATAAAAATATATCGCATTGCAAGCACATTTATGTGTGAACATAAAGTTACTTATTTAATTTCACGATTCGGATGAATTTTAAAAACTTCATCGATAATTGATAATTACAACTTATCAATAATTTTTCTAATTTGGAGTCTGTAAAGTATTCATGTACACAATCACGTAAACAGATATTAAATGATGATAATCATAAAAAAAGAAATGAATAATTGTGCAATACGAAAAATCATTTACAAACTAATTAATATGAGAAAATATATAAAGGGTTCCTTGCGTGATTAATTTACTCGCAAAAAAATTATAAAACTACAAGTGCGTTTTACATGTACCTAACTTAATCATTGTGAAAAGTGAAAATGGTTGACTATTCTTCGATGTTATAAGTACTACAAGTATTTTATGTGTTACTATTGCAATTGAGAATCGTAATGATGATGCATAGATGTAACAACTTTCATTGTGTAATTGAATTTGACGAAAGTGAGCGTAAATCAACTTTGTATACAAAAAAAACCTTGAAATTATCATTTTGAAAAAGTTGCAAATTCTACTTACGTATTAGGCAATAAAAATATAAAAAATTAATCTCTTCGTAAAATGCTTTATCAGAAAATGGAAAAAATATATTGTGAGAATGTAAACATGGTATAATCATTTAAGGAAAAGTAAGTTCGATCGTACATCTCGCTGAAATTCTTATGTAGTTTTTTTACGGGATTGTAACGTTAACGATTAAACTCTCAATTTTCAATTAAAAAAAAAAAATTATGATGTGCATAGAGCATTACTATGATTTGGCATTATTAATTAAGTTTTAAGTTTTCGCTAGACCTAATTTACTTTTTTTTGTTGCATTGGCAGTTTGTTCACAGTAGTAAGGATACCTTTGTATCAAGTATAATTTAATTTATTTTCATTCTCAAATTGAAACAAGAAATTTGTCGAATAGAAAGAAAAATTCGTAAATATTACACACTATTTATCATTCGCAATCATTCATACGCTAGACTTGATCATTTTTAGCCGAGTATTAGTTATCGTCAGCAGATTCATTTACCATTATTGAATTAAGAGTTTTTTGCTTTGCTACTGTTTAACTCAATTATTTCTTTTAATTATTGCTCTTTTTATATCTCTTCTTTTCTCTACCTTTCTCGTTAATTTTTCACCTACGCAACGATCAGCCGTCGTCAATGACGCATTTAACACCACCCAAAGATGATCCAAGTGGAACCTTGGTCGACAGTCCAGTTCAGGCGCCAAGCGTAGGTCCGATTTTTGTTTACCCGACGATTAAATCGGCTATGCATCATTCGAGCAACGATTCGCAAACTTTACCGTCGCCCAAGAAAAAGCGCGGAATAAGTTTTGCCAATCTGCCGTCGCCTTATCGCTCGACGGCCTCCCGATCGCTCGGAGATGTGTCGCAGGGCAGTAACACTCTTACCGCGCCAAGTGGTAGAGGTTACAGGGTCAGTCCGAGCAGTCCAAAATTCAAATTACCCCCCACGCCGTTAACGAATCCGGATTTAACGATTGTGGGCGTGGTGCATGGTTCTGGTGAAGGTTCGGCCGATGAAGCCGTTTGGTGTGATGTGTCTAATCCTGAAACAAGAGGTTTGAGACAACACGAGGTGGGTCTCCTCGGTCAAAAATGTGCACAATTTACCCAGTCCCTTAATTCTCTTTACTCTTCTTTGCACTAGACTTTTGTTCTAATTTACTTTCTATAATAACATTGTCCTAATGATTGACTGACTTTGGTTTGCACTTTCTTTTTACATTTTTGTCTGTAGAAATTAACTAAATTTTTTGATGATTATCATAGACTTTAAGTAAAATATTGATTTAATCTTTATTGAAATTATTTAAAATAAAAATGAGAATTGTATCCATTTATAATTTGATCCAAAACATGAACTATTATACCATTTTTGGTAATCCTCATGGGAATGATTGCTAATTTAGATTTTATTTTAAATCACTCACAGCCAATGTCAACACCGTCTCCCACGCCTGTGGTACCACAAAAATTATCGGTGAGCGATCGTAAACGTTTATTCGAAAATGCCATGGAGGAACATTTAAAACCATCGCCAAAGCCGGAGAAAGTTTTCAGTTTTCTCAGCCAAGACGAGGTTGAAAAGTTGAAGCAAGAAGAAGAAAAGAAAATTGCAACTTTAACGAGGGACGAGCTGAAATCATGGGCTCAGATTGATGAAAATGAGGGCATGGAAGAAGAAGATCAGCGCCATCACGAAGATCAAGACAGTAGGAGACCAAAGTAAGTTTATAACTTGAATGTATTTTTGGTTTGATCTAATTTTATATTATTTATTTATTTTTTTGTTATAATTTTTAGTAGTCGATTAAGTTCGCGATCGTCAGTACCTGTGCTCCAAAATGTACCTATAAGAACAGCGAAAGCTGAGAGAAGACTCAAAGAAAAGTTAATTCAAGAGGTAACAATTTACTTTTTTATTACTAACAAGGAGAGGAGAGGAGAATAAGATGTAAAATTCAAATTATTTGTTTGTAATAATTCAGGGATTACTTTCTGACGACGATGACGAGAGTCATTTAACACCAGCCGAACAAAGAGCTCTGAGAGCAGAGAAACGGGCGGCCTGGAGACAAGCAAGATTGAAGTCTCTTGAACAAGTAAGTACCTTTCGAAACCTCACCTAGTGAGAACTAAGACGACACTTATAGTTACAACTTTGTTCCAGGATGCACTGCAAGCGCAGTTAGTTATAAAGAAAATGAGCGAAATGATGGATACGTCGCCTAGTAAATTAGACGCTATGAAGGACCTAGTCGATAGTAGCGAACCAATGCCGATTGTAGAGAATGTAGCAGAGGTAAGATTTAATTTTATTTCATTTAATTGATTTATTGCCATCATGTACTAATTTTTTTTAATGAAAATAAAAAATATCAAAGTGACCTAACAAACAATGCTCCGATTTAAATGTATTAACTTTACGTGACCGGAATAATAATTAAATCTTAGAAATTTACAAACGTGTCTAACTGGGGATTATCCAACGATTTTAACCATTACTCTCAATAATATTTTGTTGCCTACTCTTTTCAACTGACAAATAACTACTTAACTCTTTTCCTTTTCCCTGCGAACAAAATAAAAAATTAAATAAACAAAGCATACCGACAACAATACAAACAACAGCATGGGAGTACTGAGGCCGTCTAGCGCGGATTTTCCGAAACTAGCATTGCGCAGCAAACTCGGACCGGCCCGAGCTGTACGCGAATCAGAGAAAATAGTCGACGAAAAGGTGACACGTCGTACTGAGGAGTACTTCGATGAACTGACCGGTGAACGTCGTGTTCGCACGGTCGAATACGTCGAGAAACTCATCGAACGCGAGGTATTATTATATAATGGAAAAAGCGCACGTAATGAAAAATAAATCACTAGAAACTCGCTGTTAACGTTGAAAAATATTGATAGCTTTGATGTATAAAATGATTGTGTGGTACTAAAGATTTTTTATTCATTTTCATTATACTATTCAAAAGTAGTTTATTTCAAAATTCAAATGTCGGTATCACGACTTTCTAAATGGCACAACCGTTCAACCAATATTCTTAAAAATCATCTTTTCGAAATGTATATACAAGAAAAATGAGCAATTTGCGTAGATTTTTGAGGATCATCACTGCAAAAGTAAAAAGTACACTTGCGTTTAAAAATAATCTATTTAAATCACATATTTTTAAAAATTATGAAAGTCAAAAATAAAAAAACACGAGCACATAATATGCACACATGTCGTAATTAATGTACCGATGGATATTTGCCAGATCTCACTAATTACTATAGGTGGTGGTGCTTTTTTTGAGAGCTAATAACAACTAACATTTTAATTACAAGCTTACAAATATATCACCTGGATTGCAAGCAATACTGCCTTGACCAATTTCTATAGTTTTCAAACATCATTTGACAACCTCATAATAGTGGTACGATCGATGATTACACATTTTAAGTTAATAAATTTATTTTTTTTTTATCACTTATTTTGAGTTACATACACTTTTAGCTTTGTACGTACTGTTGTATTTTTTTATAGAAAAATATTTTTAAGTATGATTCGATTAATTTAATTATGAAGTATTTGGGTGATTATTTATTTTTTGTACCAGTAGAGAATTTTGTAGGATCACGCGTGAAAATGAAATGAAAGCACAAAATCATTAAACACAAGTTTATTTCAACTAATTTTGGATTTTAATTTAAAAGGTAGAGATGCTGCGAGAAAAAATTATATCGTTAGAGTTGAGTAATATGACGGAAGAAGATCATCAGCAGCTGAAACACGATGAAGAACAAAACGAAGAAAGTGTCAGCGAAGTACTGACCGGTACGAGCGATGCTGAAAGCGAACCCGAATCGATCTCGACCACTATCGAAACCCCACGGAGCGAGAGTTTTGAAGCTAATAATCTTGACGATAAAACTTCCCCGCAACTGTCACCTGGAGGTGATGACAGAGATGAAGCTGAAGAAGAAGAGGAGGAAGAGGAGTGTACAAACAACGCCACGAGCAACGGTACCTCAGCCGCGGCTAATGGCAAAAAGAAGCGACGTAACAAGAGATCGAAGAAAAGCCGACACTAAAAAGCTCATTTTGATCTCTTCGTTTCTGCATTCTCTCTTTATAAATGAATGTGTAATGGATGTCCTGCCATTTTAAGTATTTTTGTGAACTATGTTTTAAAACCAACCTGCTGTTCTATTCATTTTTAAAGAAATTTAATAGAGCTAGAGTAGCATAGCAACTGAACATATAAATGTACAAGGACTCGCTGATTAATTTTAAATTAATGATCGATGCATATTAACAAGGTATCAATGTATTTTCGCGTTTGGACGTGAAATAAACTTATCGCGTTTGTAGTATACGTCAAATTTTTTTTGTATTATTGTGATAAGTGCGATTCGAATGCGAAGAACACATTCCTCGGTGCCGCCCTTGAATATTTGTCTGTCTCTCGTTTAAGCAGCTGAACTTTTTACATATACATATAAAAAAAGAGTAGCCTAGAGAAAGTGAAAGATTTTTCTTTGTTTTGTTTTGCTTTTCTCGAGAATTATTTATACTTGCATTTATAATAAGGGTAAACAAATATCAGAGCTCAGGCTTTTTAAACTTTTTACCTTTCTATAAAATTCTGCGAGTAAGCTTAGTAATTTTTTAATGAAATGTAGTAGAATGTTAACCTCGCGCTCTTTTTATACAAAGAAAATTACTGCACATTTCTATGCATTATGGTGTGTGCTTACACGATTATAATTGATCTATCGACGTGAAAATTATTTGTCTTACTTTATTATTAAGTACAGAGAATAAAAAATGAAAAATGAATTTGTAAGGTTTAAAAAATGGCAAAATTATGAGATTCGGTATTACTTATATTCTTAAAGTCATTAGCTAGATATACTTATGATGTTACGTAATGTATTTTAACTTCATGGTGTAATAGAAATTATATTCATTAAATAATTATTTAGCTGCCGTTAGACAGGTAATATTTTTATAAAAACGTAAGGCCCTATCCAATTTATGATGTAAAATTGCCTATTTGATAGAAGAAATGTTTTATTTTACGACCGTCGATAAAATTATAGTCTACATCATGTTTCAGTATGCGTTTTTTAATAAATTAGGACGAGACATTTAATGTTGATTATGAGTTTCTACGCGACGTGGGACCAGGAAATTCGAAATTAATGTTTAAAAGCTTCATTCCGGTATTAATGGAATAATTAAATTTGCAGATACATTATGCATTTTTTTGATGCGTTGAATGAAAAAATAACTTGAACTGCACGCCAGTGAAAACATATTTTTGTTTTGAATATTTATAAAGCACATAATAAATTATCGTTATAAAAGAATAATTTATAATTAATGGGGTATAATAAAAAAAACGATCGCATTATTTTGGTGAGAAAGTTCGTTAATAATTTTAATACGTATACAGATGTACACATTAATATTAATTAGCTAGCTTGTCGACCGAATCTCAAGATAAAACGAATTAAAGAGTATGTATTTTAAGGCGATAATTTTTATTTGTCAATTGTATATTGATAAATCATACTTTTCTTATAACGTTGATGTAGAAAATGCAGATTTGTTTTATTCCATAAGTTAAGGTATTTTTTTCTATGAAAAAATTAATGATATAATGGCGACTAAAAAGATTAATATAATTATTTGTTTAAAACATGATATCAACACACAATAATTTTTACGTGTGACTGATAGATGAGGTGAATGTGTAATGAGAATTTATTGTTGAATTAGACGTGTTTTGAAGAAAAAAACTTATCTAATATATTTATTATAAAAATCATCTGTATTCTTTACTAAGCAATATTTATACGTTTTATAATCGTAAAAATGTGTATTTGTAAGGAAAAATTATGCAGATAAACATACATTTATTTTAAAAGAAAAAAGTCTTGCCATTTATTTGAATCTGAATTATATTTATTACTTTACCGCTCACTAATTACTTTTTGGGAGCTATGATACCCTCAAGTTGTGTTTTAAGTTGTTGATTCGTTTTTTTCAAAAAATTGATTTCTTCACTATGTTTTTTCTCTTCTGCCTCGCGTAATTCCGCAGCTCGTCGTTCGGCTTGATCAAATTTCTGTTTTAGTTCGGCTAAAGTTTTTTCCAGATCAGCTTTTTGCAGGCGCAGTTCTTCTGCAGCAGATATTAAATCTTCTTTTCCTTGTTCAGCCTTACAAATAAAACCAAAATAATTGTTTTATATTGCGATTCAATAATTGTGATAAACAAAACATTCCGAAAATTACTTGTAAAGCTTTGCGCATTCCAAAAGCGATACTGCTTTGATACAAAGTCTGGTAAGCTGCCATTGTCATTTGAATTTCATCGCGAATTCTCAAGAGCAATAAACCGCGCTCAGCACAATTAATCGTGACTTGTCGTATAATTTCATCTAATAATTTGAAATAACATAATTTGTAATAAGTTCAGTTTAAAAAAACCAATGGAATAAGTAAATTACCAAAACATTGAGTATAAAGCTCTCTTCTGACAATACATATACCAGTTTCTCTGGCTTGCCTCTGTTGCAATTTCATGTCCAATTGTTCTTGTAAATTAATCACATCCAGCCTCGTGGCTGGTGTACTTGAAATCTGAGTTTTAAGTATAATACTAAATAATTTTCACAAATTCAATAAACTATTTTTTTTTAAGATACCTGTTGTTTCCAAATTTGTCCTTCCTCTTCCCATTCTTTTGGTGGTAATATTCCATTCAGAATTTCGATGGTTTCTTTTCTCAATTCACTAGGAACTGTAGTGGTCACTTTGCACATGGATGTTCCTACTTTGCTCGAAGATGCTTCTTTCGTCTGGAAAACATGGGATTAGCTATCATTAGTTGTTTCATAAAAAATTCATCGGTTTGTTGAACATTACTTTTTCTGGACGGGTCGTTACTAGAATTGGATTGTCGTATTTGATCAAAGTATCGCCGGATGGAATCATTCTTTCAGGCGCAGCTGCAGCCATGATTATTTAAGTAAAATGTGTAAAAGCTACTCTACAGGTATTTCTGTAAATTACAATTTACGGCTCGCGGGCATTACTTATTAATATTCACCTCTCTATATTTGAGGTTGACCAACCGATCATACGTGTTTGTTGCCATAGAGTTATTGATATAACTATCGCTGATGATGCATGTAAGCACTTGTTACAAGTGTTAATTAAAAATAAACTTACACACACAAGCAACATTGCAGCTCTGTTCTTTTATGAGGAAAAATGTACCGTGTTTTAAAGTTTTGAATTGCCCGATTGCAAAAGGTCTATAAGTCTGCATAAAAACCCAATCAACGGGTGCAAAAACCCGTATAAGTTATACGTGGGTTTTGCAATCGGTAAAATGTCATTTTTGTCATTTTTCAGTCTAAAACTTTTGGTCATCAAATAAGCTTTGAAGCTCAAAGTTGGAATTTTCATTCGTACTTTTGATCGACTTGTTATCTTCGGACTCACGTGAACTACGTTAGATCGAGCCTTTTGCAAAAATAGGGAATCTATTCGATTTTCAAAATCCAACAATCGAAGATTATAAAAATAACAAAATGATTTATATTGTTAGTCATAATTATAATATAAAAAAAGGATAATTTCAGAGGATTTTTTCCCGTACTTCCCTTTTAAATACTTTATTAAATGATCGTTTGACGTCTTTAGTTACAGATCTTTGGATTCTTAACAACTTTTTCTTTGAGATATTTCGACTCAAATTGTATTGAACAATTTAATGTTTTTGACCCATATTACAACAAGAGAGAAATTTACTAAAGATGAATAACAAATAAATTACACATTGTATGCTTTGCATCTTAATTTTATTCAAGTATAAACAATGATATGTATTTATAAAATTATAAAAATGTTCAAAAAATTGTTCTTTTATCACAATATAATGTCATCACATACAATAGGACAGAATATGTATTTATTCGTAAAAAATTATTATTATTTTTACATCAATTAATTAACGTTTGCATTACATAATAAAAACACTTAGCAAGTTAAAACTTATAATTACTAGCAACAAAATAAGCATTTAGAGTTCTCCATGTTTAGAGTATATTTTCTCTTCAATGTCTTGATGCATTTTTTCTATGTCTCTTGTATGGATTTTGATTTGATTGTACGATGAAGCATCTGGGTAATAATCTTTTCCTTTTCTGGCTGCTTCTAATGCTGCTTCAGTGTGCATATGACGTAATTTTAATAATCTTGTTTCATAATGAAAAAGCTCCTCCTAAAAATTAACGCGGGTTTTTTTAGAAATTATAAAAGATTTCAATCTGAATAGTCAATTGATTCTTACTCTTAAAGATTCAAGTTCTTGTTCAGAAAACTTAGACTCTTTGGCCATGTGCCAAAGTTCTTGTACTTTAGGATCTACAAATTCATTGTGTTTAGGTGCTTTTGCAGCGATTCTTTCTAAATGGTCAAAACCTGACCGAACTTCCAAGTGTTTTTGTCTAAATCATGAAAAATATGTTTGATATTATAAGCTTGAGTGCGAAGCTAATGATATTATAACATATATAAATTTATTTACTTGATTAATTTAGCATTGTCGTGATACTCTTTATCATGTTTTGGAATATCATTATTCTCATCTTCTTCTGCATATTCTATTTCATTCCATTTTTCATGAGATTCATCCAAGCTATCTATAAATAATAAAAAAATAATTTTAAAATTTTTGCATATAGTATATCAAAGTAACAAAAAATGTTATAATCTTACTTTTGTGTTTATGTTTAGCATCAGGCGTTTCAGATTCAAAATTTTCTATCAAACTCATGTATTCATCAATTTTATCTTGATGATGACCAAATTCTTCTTTCAAAGCTTCTAATTCTTCCGCTATTTAATTAAAAGTTATGAATTAATTTTAAAGTTTAATTAAAACACCAAATCAGTAAAAATCAAAATGAAATTTACTGGTAAATCCTCCTCGTTCAGCCTTAGCCCACAGTTCATTCAATTTAGCATTTTTGAAAACTTCAGGGACTGGAATGTTTTTGGAATCTTCATATGGTTTAAACTTTTTTTTATTTTTTTGACTTTTAGATACTTCTTCGAAATGCTCAAGCAAGTCATATCGTTCCATAATGCCTATAAAAAATTAAACATTAAACCAATATTATCAAATTAAGAAAAATTTCAATTAAAATGCATTTAAATCGATGTTTAAAATACCAAGTAGTTTTTTTCTTAATCTGGCTTCTCCTAATCCTCCTTCATCTTTTCCATCAGCCCTATAATGTTTGAAAGCTATTTCCTCTTTATCTTGAATGTGTAAATCACTGTATAATGATTGAAGTTTGGGATTAGGCAGTCGCTAAAACAAGTAAATTCTTTAATATTTTTGAACAAAATTATTATTATAATCATAATGAGAACATACATGTTTTGCTTTTGTCCAAACCATATTCAATTTGTGCATGCGAAAAGGTTTATCTAAATGTCTTAATTTTTCTAACTGCTCAGAAGCTGAAAAAGCTGTTTTAGCTTTTTGTGAATTAAGCGTATTGGCTTCCTTTGAATATTTATTGACTGCATCAGAATACTGGACGAGTAATACAATTATTGCGCTGTATAGACTAGCTTTAATAAGCAGAGCCATTTTAAGAATTGAAACAAATTACAGTTCTTTAGCTTTTATTAGTAAAATAAAAAATGTATGTTCGTGGCTATCACTCATTTGACACTACCCGGTAAGTGACTGTTTGCGTGGTTTCATAACTTTCTTTTACTTTGCTTACGTGTTTTCGTGCAGTAGGATAATAAAGGATACTGTCAGATCTGTGTAAAAACACAGGCCCGCCGCCCGGTAGCGTTCAAGACGGTCAGCTTATTTTAAAGGTATTACTGTGACTGTCACTTACAATCTTCAACTATCTTTTTACACAACTCTGAAGTCTGAATACTGTTTGAGACTATTTGAGAGGCATGATTCTAGTTACAACTTCTACCACTAGTTAGTAAGCCGTGGTTGGCCACCTATGACGTTTCACAAGTGAGGTTAAATCAGTTGTTTACCAGTGCACCAAGATTCAAGACGTGCTTTTTGTTTTATCCATAAATAGTTTCTAATTTTTCCGAGTAACCTAGTATAATTATTTACTATGTCTACCGAAGAAACTCAGTCAAACGTGCCGAGTGAAAAAGTTGATGTTGACAAAGAAAAATCAACAGGGCCATCAGATGGATTTATCGACTACGACAAATTTAAACCCATCAGTTTTAAATCAAGTTTACTAAACTTACAAATTTGTGCAGCTCCTGAAGTTGTTCCTACAGGAACAGAATTGTGTGTGCGGCATATTGACTCAACAACGAAGGAGTTGAGCTACAATCCAAAATACAATGAACTATACGCTCCCGATGTTGGTCCTGAAAATCCATTTAAAACGCAACAACAAAAAGCTCCAAAAAATATGCTTTCAGGGTATATTGAAAAAGCACATGTAAGTGATTTTCAATTTGAAAATCATAGAAGAACTTTTGTTAGCTATGGTTATGCATTAGATCCTACTGTAGATGGGAGTATAGAAGAAGGTAAAAAAATAATAGGTGCTGTTGAAGCTGCTGAACAATCTGGCAGTAAAACTGTTTTTGAGAGCATATCTAAAAGACCAGCTGACAAAAGAAAAAGAGTTAAAAATGATAATCCAGAAGATATTACTGGATTTTTAGGTCCATGGGGAGGTTTTATAGATGAAAAGAGAAATTCCAAACCTTCAGAAGAAGAAGCTGCAGAATTAGAAGAGATATTAGCCAAAAGAAATAAGAGGAGCAAACCAAGTGAAGACAAACCTCTGGAAGAGAAAACTGTTTTACATATTAAAGATAGTCATGACTATCAAGGTAGATCATTTCTGCATGCTCCTCAGGACGTTGGGGTCAATTTGAAATCAGACATTCCACCAGCAAAATGTTTCTTACCCAAAGCTCAAATACATACTTGGGAAGGTCATACAAAAGGAATATCTCAAATCAGATGGTTTCCAAAAACGGCACATTTACTATTATCATGTAGTATGGATGGTAGAGTAAAATTATGGGAAGTTTACAAAGATAGAAGATGTGTTCGAACTTACTATGGACATAGACAAGCAGTTAGAGATATATGTTTTGACAATGATGGCAAAAAGTTTTTGTCTGCATCTTATGACCGGTATGTGAAGTTATGGGATAGTGAAACTGGTCAATGCATCAGCAGATTCACTAGTAGAAAAGTTCCCTATTGTGTTAAATTCAACCCAGAACATGATAAACAACATCTGTTTGTTGCTGGTACTAGTGACAAAAAAATTATTTGTGTAAGTAGTAATATTTTTACTTAAAATTAAATTTGCCTTTATATTCCTTTCAACTCATAATAATTAAAATTTTTTTTTATCAGTGGGACATTAGATCTGGAGAAATAGCCCAAGAATATGATAGACATTTAGGAGCGGTGAATACCATCTCGTTTGTGGACGAAAACCGGAGGTTTGTGACAACTTCAGACGATAAAAGTTTGAGAGTATGGGAATGGGATATTCCTGTGGATATGAAGTATATTGCAGATCCTACTATGCATTCTATGCCAGCAGTAACAGTTTCACCAAACAATAAATGGCTTGCATGTCAAAGCATGGATAATAAAGTTGTCATATTTTCTGCTATGGATAAATTTAAAATGAATCGAAAGAAAACTTTTACTGGACATATGGTCGCCGGTTATGCTTGTGGATTAGATTTTTCACCCGATATGAGGTAAGCAAAAATTTTTTCATCCCAGTCAAACGTAAAATATGCAAGTTTGTCGCTAATTTTAGGTTTTTGTCTAAACCATAATTGCATCTGCTAAAAAATACACTATCTTCTATCTATTTTATTAAAAATTAAGTAATTGATATGATAATTCCATAATAATCTTATATTTTTACAGCTATTTAGTATCTGGAGATGCAGATGGAAAATGCTACATATGGGACTGGAAAACTACAAAACTTTACAAAAAGTGGAAAGCTCACGATGGAGTGTGTATTTCTGCTTTATGGCATCCTCATGAACCTTCTAGACTGGCTACAGCTGGTTGGGATGGAAAAATCAAATACTGGGATTAAATCAATTTGTAACTTCAAATACAATCAACTTAATCAATAATTTGTTATTGAAAAATGTACATAACATGATTATAGTATTAAAATCTAAAGATAAATTATACTTTATAAGTATAAGAAAATGAATGGTAAAATAAATATTTTTTGACCTAAAAATTTATAACGAATATTATGTTTGACACACCGTTTATTTACATTAGTTGATATAGTCTATTCAACTTATGCAATGTTTTTTTACATAACTTTGTATACTTTTATTATTTTAATTATTTAAACATTTTAATATTTGGTCGTAATGGCATTATTTAATAACAATCTAGCATTCATCTGCGCAATCATTGATTCATTCATACAAATCTGAGTTAAAATTACTGCATGATTGGACTTTAACAAAAATAATACTTTTTCAAAAATGTACAAACTAAAGACGATTCATTAACAATGCATTATAATCTTAATATACTAGTTTTAATAATTTTTAGCGATTTGTACTACGTTTTATTTTGATTTGCCTTTTAATTAGTACCATAATCTGAAACATTGTCCATATTAACGAGAATTAAAAATCTATTATTTACTATTGAAGATGCATCGTTTAAATGTGCATTGAAGACTTAATTCTGCTAATCGTTTGTCGATATTTTTCGCACCTAAGAATGATACTCTATGATTTAAATATTTGCTGCGACAGAATAATACATCATTTACGTATGAAATATTAATTATTATTTTTGGTTTGTAGAAATCATTTGTACATTATATTTCATTATGAAAGTTTTTCCGTCGACAATATTTTTAAAAAACTTTCATTTACGACCGAGACACTGGAATTCGGTTTCGGAGGTAGGCCAAAATTTCTTCCGTTCCTTTCATTAGGGTTGCTTGCCTTGGTTGTTTGAAACAATTTCCGTTTAATGACAAGTTTCTGAAAATAAATTGTTTATTAAACGAGACATTCATTTTAGAAAAAATTTTAAAATAGTAAAATAAACTTTTATTATAAATTTATTATAAAATAATTTTTTTAATTAAAATAATTTTTTCATCTAAAATATAAACTAATAGGAATTTCGTGTCACTAATGGCCACTAAATGAAGTGATAATTAACTGCTATACCGATTATTCGCAAAGAGAGAAATTTCATCACGAGACCTTGCGCGGACGATATTTAAATATAGCTTTTACCTCAAATTTTTCAGGTTCCCAAGTTCTGGTGGAACATATCCAATATTATTGTTAGACAAATCTAGATTTGCCAGCCTTGTGAGATTTCCCAACGCAGCTGCATTGATCGTCGACATTTTATTGTCGTTAGCCGTGAGTATTTCCAAATTTTCAAGTTGGTAGATGCAATCAGGCAGTTCTTCAAATCTATAAAAACAAAAAGTAATCGATTAGATTAAAGTTTTTCAATTGACTCTATCAATCGTGTCAAGAATAACCATCAATGAAGATTGCATTATTGAACGAAAAAAATAATTTAAAATACATTTTCATAAAAAATCGGAGCGATAAAATTTACGAATTTGTGTCTGTTTTTCATGCGTTTAAAATATTTATGTGATCGACGCTTTCAATGATAGAGCATCCAACATCAATCAACTCGTTATATTTAGAAAAGCAACAAGTTTATGATCGCGGCAAAAAAACTAATACTTCCTTTCCGGTGCGAAGTTCGTCAATACTTTCACTCTTAGAAATGCACATTAACGGCGCAGCAAAACACTTAATTGGACAAGCAAAAAATGCACGCTTCACTCACTTATTGAAGGAAATGTTGAGTTCGACTAGTTGCTGGAGCAGAGAAAAACTGGCCGGGAGCGTCTTTAGCAAGTTCTTGCTGAGATCGAGATGCTTGAGCCTCGAAAGCGAGTCGCCCAGCCAATCGGGTAGCTCCTGCAGTAGATTGTACGACAGTTTCAAATCGGTCGTCGTGACTATTTTGCCGAGGCCCTCGGTCAGCTCTTGCAGCTTGTTTCGGCTGAGATCGATGCAGGTGACCTCGGCTTCTCGGGCATTCTCCAGAACTTCCTCGGGTACCTCGACGACGTTTTGACCGACCAGACTGAGCAGTTTGGCGTTGCGCATCGCGTACCTGGCCGGCAAAAAACTTCAATGACAGTAGGCTTCGTACGTTCGGTACTCGTAATAAACTCGCCGAGGATGTTATTTTTTTTTTTAGAAAGTTGCGCGAGCGCAGGTCGCGTAACGGCGCGGAATAGCTCGGTCGCGTTGTCACGGTTCGTGGCTTCGAAACAAAAAGCAAATGACTCTTACTTGTCCGGATATGTGTTGGGATGACAGGTTCTCAGCGGCGAATTGGCCGTCTCGTCGTTGGTCGGATTGATCGTTTGCCGTAGATGATTTTTGATGCGTGGAGTGCCACACTGCACAATGTCGCGTCTGACGTTTTTCACTCTGTTGCCGTCGATCACGAAGTTTTGTAAATTTGGCATCACCCCGATGCAATTTGGAATTCTGTGCACAGGATAATCAGTATTACATTTTTCATGGTAATACTACGTTGTATATTTATTTGACAATAATTAAAACACGTACTCAGATATGTCGTTGTAAGACAGATCCAACAGCTCGACGTTGATAAGCATGATTATTTCCTCGGGTATGGAGTCGATCTCGTTATTGCTGAGATTCATGATCTTCAATTGACCGAGGCTCTCGAGACTGTTGACGTCGATCTCCCTGATGCCGTTGTGAGACAGATGCAGTTCTTGCAGCGACGCGCAGCCTCTCAAATCCGGAAACGTTCTCAGACAATTCCAGCGAAAGTCCAATCGCTCGATTTTGCCCAATTCGCCGAGCGGGTGAACGATCTCCAGGCAATTGTTGCTGACGTCGAGCTTCTTCAAAGCTGCAGTCAAGAATGAAACGAGGGGATGGAATGGAAATAAAATTCGTGTATTAGTTTTGTCGAAACGCGAAACTGCCATACCTCTCATGCTCATTATATCCGGTGGAAGTTCTTTGAGTTGATTGTGATTCAGATCCAGGGCGATCAAGCGCACGAGGTAACCGAGGCCGGCCGGCAGCGACGTCAGACCGTTCCAAGACAAGTTCTGCAATTCGAGACGGAGTTTATATGACTGCTCGATCGTCATTGGGAAAAAAGCCGCATCACAAGCGGAATATCTTACCAGGTACTCGAGCATGACCAAGTCGCCGACCGCGGGGTTCAACTCTTTGATGAGGTTGCACTTGAGATCGAGGCATCTGAGCTCGGCCAGTTTGAAGAAGTCCGCGCCTAAATGCTTCAGCTTGTTCGAGGACACGTTGAGCTTTCTCAGTTTCGTCAGGCTGCCGATTTCCTCGGGTACGCTTTCCAGCAGATTGTCGTGTAACTGCAATTATCGTAATTTAGGAATATGAAAATTGATAAAGACGCGTCAGGACGATCGTCGACTCACATCCAAATTGACTAGATCGCCGAGATACTTGATATCCGGGCTCAATTTAGTAAGGCTATTGGAACTGAGATCCAGAGACTTGAGGGCCTCGTACTCCCACCATTTGGTGCAGCTGTCGGCGTTGCGCAGATCGACTTGCAAATCTCTCAGCTCCTGATCCGTCAGCTCGTTGATAGTCCATACTCTGTCGGGCACTGCGTACAGACACAACGCAATGAATGCAAAATAACGTCGATCGCGCGATGGCATCAGGGAAGTGTACTCGAGCCTATAGTACAGTACGTTATGCAATCGCCGCATACTCGAGCTAAGCAAAAAAAATCGCTATAGTGTAAGCATGCCCCCGATCGCTTCGACTCCAAGTCGATCGCGTTGCTCTTCGCGAAGTAATTACACGTAATATGGGCGTGTACGCGTGGCTAAACCCGGCGAAAACTTAAAGGTTGCCTTATTATGTATGTGTATAAGGTGCCTTGTTATGTATTATCTAGTTCGAGCTTGGTGTGTATATTTTCCAATATAAGCGTCGATTTTGGATCGGAGCGCACATGCGAGTCGAGCTCGTCGTAAAAGTCAAGATAAATAAACGTACAGTTAATCGATGCACGCGGCTAATTATAGCCGGTGCGCGTACGTATAGCCGCACGCAGAGCACGTGTCGACTAGTTAGCCCGGCGATCTGTCCAGACGATTTTTGGCCGCGAGCCCGTAATCCGTAATACTTGATATTATAACGCGTTCGGTATGATATAGCGAACGCGAGGCGTTTCTGAAATATCTCGTTTTTCAAGGGTATACTTGACTTATACTCGAATGCACATTCGGAGATTTGATTTGTTTGTTTCGCTGCATCTCTATAAATCGTCCGTGGCCTATATAGCTCATGAAAGCGGAAAAGTTCATTACACCCGCGTAAACATTGAAAAAACGTAAATAGCGTATTAATAGCTCGGCACGGTTCGGCGATGAAATTTTTTTCCAATTTACTCGTACGGAATTGCATTTATGATTTTTAAAATTTCGCTTAGTAACGGATCCTCGTTTTAAAATCCTTCAAAAGATTCCATCATTTGCAAAAGTTATTTTTCTTTCTCTCTCGTCGACGTTTTGATTTTACGAGCGCGTTCGGTGTGACAGGCCTTGACCTCGAAAGAGTTAACTCGGTAGTCGATCCCGTTTCCATTAGGCGAACGAGGTGGCAACGCGAAAATGTGAAAAGCGTCGAAGCGACGTAGTTTCGATTGCGTACGACAACTGCGCGGCCAATGTGCAGTATCTATACACGAAATGACGCGCGAATATACCCAGAGAGCTGCGATTCCCGCATGAAAATAACCGCATAAATAGAGCGCGAGCGTGAAAAATCGAACGTAATCCATCAGATGTACATTATTGCATAGAACGTATAATATAATGCCGCGCGACGTATGTATAACACGTCTTCTTACGATCGTATGCACTCGTGCTCACTGATACACCGCTGCAGATACGACTGCGACTATGTGTGGCTTCGCCTGTGAATTATTAAAAGCATCCACGGTCACGACTAGAGCTCGTTGCAACGTGTAAAAAGAAAAGGTTCTTAGCCCTGCAGCGTCCATCCACCGTCGGATATAAAAAGCGCATATAGAATTTCGTAGAAGGGCGGCTTATCGCGACTCGTGCTCGTGTCAAAAGTTTCTCTCTGCGCCACTTCCGAGCGAGTTCAAACGTACACTATACACAATTGTCGAGCTGCGAGTCTCTTTTGCATCCGCGAGTGCAGCAGCAGTTCGCATGTGGCCCCTATTACATACATACGATCCGTGGTGGTGCACAGCCTTCGACATTGTTTAACGCGTTCCGCTCTAATCTCGTGTACCTATATAACTATGTAGAGAATATCGCGCTGCGGGTTTGTATGCGTGTACTACATGCAGTACACTACTTGTCTTCGCTTGGCACGCATTAAAAGCGAAACTGTGTACTCGCTGTTGTGCAAATGCAGTTCAGCTAGTACGCTGCAGCGACGATAAGTCAAGGCGCTTTTTTCGCTCGCGGAATTTTCACTCGAGCGCGCTCTGGAGACTTTTGAATTTTAGCGCGGCTTCGTCTTGACATTGTCCGCTCGTATGTACGCACACGCCTATGCCTCGTAAACGCAATGATGACTTTTCCAAGCTCCGCATCGTCGACTCGCATTAGCGCGATCAATCGTCCGTTAAATGCGCCGACCTTGCATTGTGTCGCGCGCGAGGAAAAATGCAGAAGCTACAATATCAGTGCGGGCAGAGATCGGATTACAGATAAAGGGGCGCATACCTGCGGAGAGACCTTTGGAGGCCAAGCAGAGCTTGCCAGTCTTTCTGGCGCCGATAATGATCTCGGCCGAGAGCTCGGAATTGTCGTCGCTCTTGGTGCGCTGACGAAAGACCGATTGGCTGTAATTGTTGATGAACCTGCGACGCGAGGCGCTGGTCGGCCTGCTGCTACTGGGCCTTGTCAACGACTGCGTCATGCTGTTCGTCGTCGTCGTCGTACTCGTACTCGTCTGCGAGGTGGCGAGCGCCGAGGCTCCGATCGCCGACTTGGTCATGCTCGAGGAGTTGCTGCCAGCGCTGCTGTGGCTGGCGTTGAGGCGAATACTTCGGGGTATCCTACCAGCCGAGGCGCTCCTCGTGTGCCTCCTCGAGGGCTGCATCTGGACGAGTTCCGTCGTCATGATGTCTTTGGCAGCTGGCTCGCTGCCAGTTAGTGATAATTTTACTGCTGCTGTTGTAGCGCGAAAAGGCGTGCGCCCGTGCGGATATGCGGCTGGCTGGCAAACGTCGTAGTTATGCACCCTAGTCCGTGCACCCCCGACGGCACCTCGAGCAGCAGCACCGAGGAGAGCGCGACGAAGAAAAAGGGAGCGACGACAAAGTCGATAGTGTAACTAGCGTCGATCCTTTCTGCACTTGGCCAATCGTTGGCATGGCGTATACACGAGCACAAAAATCTCACTTGTTAATACTAGGCAGGACTAGCTCGGGAGCTTTTTCCCGCAGCTTCGTTGCATATGCGCGAACGAGGACTAAAAAGCACGATAGCACTGCACCTTTGTATTTATCTTTGTACCACTGATGTTACAGTAGTAGTAGTAGTAATAATGTGTGTTGAGGTCGCAGTCGCGCAGGGAGAGAAGCGTCGTCGAGCGGAGTAAGCGTGCGCGTTTGTGCGTAGGGCGCGGGCGCGCGTCTGCGTGCTCGACGACCAACTCAACTACTATCGGGCCGAACTCGTGCCTCGTCGAGCTGCTCCGAGAGTAGGATGTATGTATATGCGCGCGCTCGATGAATATAGTCGAGTTGCTGCTGGCGCATGTGCCTCGCGCTCGCTACTGCCTACCACTACTCGCGACTGCCCCAGCGTAAGCGCGTCTATCCCGACGTCGGCTCGGCCACTATTTGCACCTATATAGAGCTATATATACCTATGTATACGTACGTACATAATGCATGCTATAAAACGTACTGCAAGCCGCCTGTTTCTGCCTGTACTGTATCGCGTTTACGTATACGTACGCTGTGTGGAGCTTGGACTGCGCGCGGTCAGTGCGCCACAAAGAAAAGTGGGAGCGCAATACTACTGCTACGTTATAACGCAGTAAGAGCACTGCACCGCCTGCCTGTCTGCCTGCTCCCTGCGGATAAAACTGAATTTATTATTGCATGATGTACTGCTATTGCTTGGCGCGCGCTTGCGACTAGGGGACGAGCCCGACTACGACGACGACGACGACGATCACGACCAAAAGGGAGCCCTACTCGGCGGCGGCTCGCTTTGTCCGCGCCAACCGAATATCGTCGCTGGCCGATCGACCGACGCGCTGCGGACAGCGAGCTTTCCATCGCCTTTTCTTTTTTTCTTTTGCTCGCATCGACGCCAATCCTCGATATACGTATCGCGAAAGCTCCGAGCGAGAGGTAGCACCCACGATACGAAGCGATGGATTTTCATCGATACGAACGGAAACCGACGCGCTTTTCTTTGCTTTCGGCTAGCGTTTGTGCACGCGATAAACACCGCGGCTATACTATAACGCGATACTCGATCGATGTCATTAAGAATTTAAACGATATCAAACCGTCAGACCCGATGATTTTCTGCTCGGTTTACTTTCTACCGACGTAAAATGACTAAAACCCAAATAATAATAAAATAAAACATCAATGATGCGTCTTTTATGCTCGTAATACGATTGAGCTTTTGCTGCATTTCAATGGACTCGACGATTCATCGACGGCTCGCACGCAACAACGAAGAAAGTCTTTGACGCGCAGCTCGGGCACATTTTATAAACTGGGACTGCGTCAATTTGTGGACCGCGCGCGCGTGCCCACTTTATTATATCGTGAGTGTGCAGTGGTATCAGCACGGGGAGCTTTTAATGGGCTAATTACGTTAATCGAAGTAATGAACTGGCCGAGCGTGAGAATTGCCGACTGCGCTTCCATGTGCCTATGCTCCCCCGCGCATGAATTTTACAATAATAACCAGCCAACGAAAAGAAAGTCTATGTACCGGTGCTATTTGGAGTAAATGCCATTAAAGCTTCGATCGAGGGTACAGCTGAATCGGCTATTACGTGTACCTTACGAGCTTTCGTTTTGAATTGCGTGGACGACGAATAAAAAGCACAACGACTCGTGGGCATGATTGCGTCCTACAAGATTTAGAAATTTTGAGTTCGGGACCCGAATGCTAATTCGAAAGATAAATGTGCTCCTGCATAAATCTAGCCGTTCATCTCCTCTCGAAACTACAATAGTGCATAATGCATATTATATAGCATAGCACTACAGTACGATTTACAGCATTTAATCAAAAATAAACAAAAACAATGCCTATATCATTGTATCAATTGCTTTTTTGCTGTCAAACTATTTTTCATTCGTCGACACATCCAAGTCATACTCGTACGTATACGCGCTCATCGGAATTCTATCGTCGTCGCTTTTCCTCGCAAAATCGGCGTTATTTTTCATTGCAAATAATCGATTTTTATCGATCGTTTTAATCAAACGTTGTATATTTCAGCGTCCGCAAACGATTCAGCTCGACGTGCAAACAGCGAGTCACTACTATATTTTTATTCGACGCTCCGACGGTAATTAAAAACGATGCAAATGCAAGTTTCGATTATCTCGGATTAGATTGTTAACAATGGATAATTACAACCGTCGTACGCAATTCGAACGCTGTCACTCGCCACGTTTTCCCACACGCAATCTATTATTATGTACCAGCATCGAATGAATTAAACGTTTAAACCTATCGTTTTTGTTTCATATATACGCACAAAAAAAATTCGAAAGCGTCAAAAATCTCGTAGATTCATCAACCAGCGACATTTTTCTCGCAACGAGTTTCACACGTGCGTAGTTTGCAAACGTTGAAAATAATTTATAACTATATTATGTCTTGCGCCGAAAGCGAAGCTATATTACCCGTTTTTCTATGCACAGACCACTTGACACTTCTATTTCGCAGCAGCCCGCTAAGTCATCTTGATAATCATTGCACCGGCCACGAATTTATAAGCACTCTCTAGACGGGTACAAGTCAATGATTAAGTTACACTTGTGCGGTATTAGTTATCTTTTTGTCCGTTTTTTTTAACTGTCAGTGGCAGCACAAGCGCTACAATGCTAACATCGCGAGGTGTACAAAATCAAAGCCGGCACAAGCAGTCAGACACTCGTTCCTACGTCGTCTTCTGTGTTTACACTTTACAGACTACTTTTATTTGTCACTTGCCAAAATTACTTGTGTTTTTTATCGAAAAATATCCAAGAGTCAAAATGCCGTACGCAAACCAGCCTCTTGTTTACATTTCGGAATTGACAGAAGAATTCATCAAGTTTCAAGTAGAAGAAACTGATCTCAGGTAACCTATATGTTATTCTACGTTTAAAGTATTACGTATTTTTCTTCAAATTTTAAATCAATTTTCATTACATTCTTCTTTATTTACAACAGTGTCGCTAACAGTTTAAGACGAATATTTATTGCTGAAACTCCCACAATGGCTATCGACTGGGTTCAAATAGAAGCTAATTCGACAGTTTTAAGTGATGAATTTCTAGCTCATAGAGTTGGAATGATTCCATTGACAAGTGATGAGGTTTGAATCAATCATTTTACATTGAATCATAAAAGTTCATGATTAGAAATTTAAATAATATATCAATAAAACTTTTTGCTCAAAGGTCGTTGATAGAATTCAATACACAAGAGACTGTACCTGCATGGACTTTTGCCCTGAATGTAGTGTAGAATTTACTCTTGATGTCAAATGCGGGGATGAAAAAACAAGACACGTCACAACAGGAGATTTAAAAACCAGTGATCCCAGAGTAGTCCCGGTAACTAGTAAAAGTAATGAAGATGAAGAATACGGAGAAGTAGATGGTAATTGGACTCTACAATAACTATCTAATTTAGTAAAATTGTTAAAATTATTAAAATTATTCTTCATGGTTTCAGAAATTCTTATTGTAAAATTACGTAAGGGACAAGAACTTAAACTTAGGGCATATGCTAAAAAAGGTTTTGGTAAAGAACATGCAAAATGGAATCCGACTGCAGGAGTATGCTTTGAATATGATCCAGATAATTCAATGAGACATACTTTATATCCAAAACCTGAAGATTGGCCTAAATCTGAATATTCTCTGTTAGAAGAGGGCGAATGTAAGTTTCATAAACTCTATAGTCATAAAAGTTGTGACTAAAAAATTTTACCTGTTACAGACGAAGCTCCATTTAACTGGGAGAGTAAACCCAACAAGTATTACTTCAATGTGGAGGGTAGTGGAGCTTTGAAACCAGAGAACATTGTACTTATGGGTGTCAGTGCACTTAAAAATAAGTTATCAAATTTGCAGACCCAACTCAGCCATGAAGTTCAAAATGACGCTCTTAGTATACATCATTAAGTTAATTGTTACATTGTAAGACGTGAAAAAAAAAATTTCTTAGAAATTTGTATGAATATTTTTATATTAAGAGTATTAAATTGAATAAAATTACAAAGAATGATCCATTCAATGAACATTTATAATAAGTTCGCAAATTTAAATAAAAATTATTTTGATAATTTGAGAATCAACAGTGCTATAAATTAATTCCAAAAAAAAACCTTAATTCTTCTTAACACCAGCCATTTAATCTTTGTTCAACTATCAACCACCTTATTTTGAGTGGCGCTGCTTGTATCGCTAACAACTCAATTCAGAAGTTCCATCTCTACTGGCCTTAGTGCTCGATGGATGGAGTCTGCTAGCTGGTTCACAGGCTAGCAAATTTATTCCTGATTTTTGTGATCAACAATAAACAAGAATGAGTACCTCCGATAATCCAGAAATCCAGTGGGCATTGGATCTATTGTCCCCGGATCCGCTTTATCAAGAAAATTTCATTTCTAAAAATTACCATTGGATTACCTGGCCTATATTCACTGTGGGAGGGACACTATTCCTCAATTACATTCAATCCAGACCCTTTTACGCCAGTAAGTATTTCGTATTCTTTTTTTACTACTGTCAAAACTTGATTTATCTAACTTCAAGTGGATCCATAAAATTTGTACCTTTCACTACTGACTCATCTACTATTAAATGCATAATAAATCTGACTGATACATTGTTAAGCTTGTGTGTTATGCAATGACACATGGATACTGCAAAGTTGAATACAATAACACTTAACCCTGACTCAAATGTTGATAGTAGGATGTTGTTATTTATTTAATTGTATTGAATTATTTAATATTTTCTTTTATTTCTCAACTTACTACTTTGAATTTCATAAGTTACTACGAGTAACTTCACAAGTATTTACTTTTTATTTTACAATCTTTTACTACTTTTGATTTTAAAATTCTTCATCAACTCAATTTTCGAGTTTTTGTTTTGATATTACTTATTAAATTATTCTACCTATTCTCTGAAATTATTTAAGGAGGTTTCAAAGTTTCAATGCTGTTTTTTGAAATATCTAATGAATATTATCCTAAAAATCTCTATGGCAACCTTAACTTTGATAATCTATAGGGATACTACAGAGCCGTTAAGAAAAATATTTAGTAGAAGTTTCAAAAAACAAGATTGAAAATTAGATTTTTTGGTTGGCTTTGGTGTCCTCTTAAATTGTACACTTTGAAATATAAAAAAAATTTTTCATTTTATTAAGGTATGCCAAGACATGGTCTTGCTCTGGGTATCGGTCTAACTTTAGCTAAAGTATTCCGTGATGCAAAATACCATCGAGAAGCTGAGCGAGATGCAGTTCTGAGACATTACATTAAGTTACATCCAGAAGATTTTATTGAACCAGGTATTATCATATTTTGATATTTTCATTTACATTGCTTGTTATATTTGAATGATATTTTTTCAGAGAGAAAAACATGGAATGATGTTCTTGAAGCATGGTACCCTTGCCGCTAAGTTTGTTAAAACAATTGGTGTAGATCATTATCTCATTAATGTGTAAATATGAATGATTTTGAAAAAATTAAGATAAAAATAAAGTTACTAGTTGAAAATTTATTTGTTCTTCTTTAGATTATTTCTTATAACAAAACATTCAGGGTGAGAAAGAAATGAACACACAAAATATTTTATGTAACTTTAATTTCCACAAAATTTATTTAAAGAATTACATCACATAAATAATTATTTTTCTTTACAATAGTAGGCCACTTTATAAAATTGTAATATGATATTCAAAATATTCAGCTATAATCAAAAACTTCAACGCTTGTCTACAACTAAAGCAATTCATATTTTACAGCCACTCATTCATACCTTTAAAAAAATCACACCATTTAATAATATACACATGTTCGTAATTTTATTTCTTCTCTCACACAATAAATTATTACAATTTTAAAATAAAATTACACAGCCATTTCCTTGCTTACCCATTCATACCTAAATAACAAAACAATTACTCATACGTAGTTTTACATTTATCATACACAACTTTTTAACAAGAATAATTTATGAGCATTATACCAATTTTTTATGGCGTAACAGTAACTGAATTTGGAGATTAATTAAAAAATTTGTAAAATTAACTAAAAAATGATATATTCGAAGACAATGTTCAATTTAAATAGTCGTAAAATAGATGCACTTATAAGGCTTATGGTATATGAAATATTCAATGCCTAAACTAGTACATACATCTTTAATACATAATACAAATTAAGTATTTTATAATATTGTTTTCCAATTCATGTTATAATGGACATATGTATTAGATTCAATTCAAAATATTCACACCTCATTTCGTCTGTTTGTGAAGCGAGACATTTTTGGCGAGGTGTTCCTTTAAATTAATTTATTTGGTTGGTGTAAAAATGTATTTCTAAATATCTTCATTATGATTAGTTCATTACCCATCATGGAAGAATAGCTCCTTGTATTCGAGAAAGCTGCATATGTTGTATGAACTATACTTCTTGATTATCAATCTCATGCACAGTTTTTTTAAACATAGAAAAAAACCGCATAGCTTGCGGAAATTTATTTAGGGAAACATTTAGTTGTGCTATGCGCTCTTTTTCGCTTTTTTTTCTTGCATATATCACGAAGCATACATTCGGCTTATTTCATGTTTGTAGCGGTCTTGTACGGCTTTTCTCTTCAGTTTAAATGCAGCAGTTACAAGACCCATATCTGGTGACCATGTTTCTGTAACTAATTTCACAGCACCAGGAACTTCAAACTTTTGAAGATCACCTAGAACAAAACGCAAATTGATTTGTGTTGTACTTGAATATACTTTTAAGATATTTTATACATGCAAATATCGAAACTTACATTTCTTAGAATGTTCTACTAATGCATCCAAAACGGCTTTTTCTATCCTCGGATTGTTACATAGCTCTTCGAAGGAAGAGAATGTTGTTCCTAGATTTTTAGCGATATCTTCTAGATGACGAGGATTTGGCACGACTAAAGCTACAGTATAGGTTTTGCTAGCATCTCCATACACGCAGATATTCTCCACTAGCGAACATGTTTTCAGTTCTGATTCAACTTTTCCAAGAGAAACGTATTCTCCAAATTGAAGCTTTACTAAATCCTTTTTCCTATCTGTAATTAAAAAAAAGAGGAATTACTTAAAATGTTGACATTGAAAAGTGAAATTTTCTTTTAAACGGTGTAATGGCGCTTACCAATGATTTTTATAGCTCCATCAGGATGAACTTCGCCAATGTCTCCAGTTCTGAACCAACGTTTGCCTTCTCTAATGAAGAAATCTTCCTTTGTTTTATCAGGAAGTTTGTAGTATCCTGCTGATATATTATCTCCTCCAATAACAATTTCACCTCGAGGATTAGGCGTATCGGTTACTCTGTATCCAGCCTCTTCCCAATTTTCTAACATGATGTCGCAACCAGTAGTCGGGGCTCCAACTCTTCCAGTGCTTCTATCATAAGCTGCGTAGACAAAAAATTTCAGTTAAATCGCGCCCCGATATTTAATAAATCATTTCAATATTAAAAAAAATTACTCACCATCCATAACAGTAGCGCAGGAGCAAGTTTCGGTTAATCCGTAACCCTGAGTAACGGTAACGCATAAGCATAACTTAACTTGCATATGAGTTTCTGGGCTCAAAGGTGCCCCACCGGCAAGGATCAATCTCATGCGACCACCAAGAACTTGCTTGGCAGCGTTGAAAATGGTTCTGTTGAAAATGGGTGTGTCGTAGCCACGCTTGGTCCACTTCAATTTGTACTCATAAGCAAAATTAAATATTGCTTGTGTGAAAGGTCCAGCCCTTTTAACTTTTTCGTTTATGCCCTTTGATATGCGGTCCAAAATTAACTGAATAGCGGAAAAGATAGAGATTAGTTTCGAAGAAGTAAAAAAACGAATTATTGTTAACATGGATCAATCTCGACTGTATGAATAAACTTACGGGTACGGCTGTCAGACAAGTCGGGTGAAGTACACTAGCGTCTCCTTTGCAGCCCTTCATTATTTTACTGCTGGAATCGATCATGGTCAAGGGAGAGCTGTAGCCAATCGGCACGCCGTTGAGCAAACAAACGCTTTCGGAAAGTAGTTCGAAAACGTGAGCCAAGGGAAGATATCCCATAAATACGTCGTCATTTTCTATGACAACAGCATCGCAATAGGCTTTGAGCGTTGCAATAACATTTTTGTGAGACAAAAGCACACCCTTAGGTACTCCCGTCGAGCCCGACGTGTACATAATGATGGCCGTGTCGTCACCTTTTGGCGGAATCGATGGTGCGCTTGATTTGTTGCCGACACTGATGACCTCTTGGAACGGTATAATTCGAACTCCTTCCTGTGGTTTATAAATTGAAAAAATTACTATAGATAATTCATAGAAATAAAACAAAAAGATTCATAATATTCAAGTACATACCTTGAAACCGCTGACATCGGCAATTTTCAATTGATCTTCCATAAAAACGATATTCTTTACATCGGGTGTTTTAGCCAAGATTTTCTTGAACTTAGGTAAGAGGTCGAAGCTGGTAATGACTGTATCGACTTCGGTCTCGTTGATACCATGAGCAATAGCATCATCGCCCAAAGTTGAGTATATAGTGACAATCGTGAGATTCTGTTTGAAACAAGCATGGGCAGCAATCATCCACTCGGCTCTAGTTTCTGCGAAAACGACAATATTTTTACGAGCCGTCAGTCCGAGATCACTGAGACCACGTCCGAACGATGCGGCAGTCTGTTCGACCTCCGTGAAGCTTTTCCATTGGTACTCGCCCATTTTGTACTGTATGAGGGAAAAAGATACGCATTGTAACCAAAATATCGAATAAACCATTCAGATGTCCAAGTAAGAAAAATGTACCTTTTTGAATACTCGTCCATTTGGTTGTATCTCGTCTTCGTCGGCAAATATTTGCCTTGTACCTAAGCACCTTTTGTTGCCGTGCACCGAGGCAACCCACTTCAGCATAGCTTCGAGGGTATCGATCTTTTGATTTTCCAATTGTGAATGCATCTCGCCGATCGGATCGATATTGCGATAAATTACAAAATGATCGTCTTTTTCTACGGGCTTGGCTTTGATGCGCCTGGATCGCTTCCTTTTCTCCCATGGCCGCTGGAGCAGCAGATACACGGGGAAAGTGAAAAGATCGTAGACGTAGGATAGGGCTTTTATGGCACCCACGGTGCCCGTTATCCACATGTTGTCCATATTATCTCTGAAAAAAAAAATACCAAATATTTAAACTATGATGATTAACGAGTTATTTTATAATCTTATCGAAATTCAAGCTATAGTATATAAGTTCTTTCTTTTAAACATTACTAATACTTGAATTATATTCATTATCATTATATTATAATAATAGTAACATTATACAAGCTAAAGTAAGAAATTGATCAAATAAGCATAGGATAAGTGATTTCTACTGTTGTTAAATATTGAAACTGAAAATTTGTGTCATGTGTACAACATCGATGAGAAATAAACGAAGATATAATGAAATGCAATGTGTGTTTTCTGTTAGGTTGTCATTTTTGTTTGCGATAAGCTTTGCACGAATAATTATATTGATCTTGTCAATATGTGTTTGCAATGAATGAAAGAAAAAATAAAAGAGTATTTGTGATTAAAATGTTATCACATGAATGGTCTTCAAAATATTTTTGGAACGATTAATTTTTTTCAAATATATTTTCCAAAGACATTTTATTTTACCACCCGTAAATTGAAAGAAGTAAAAGGCACAGAGATAGATCGGTACCATTTAAAAAATTACAATAAGCACTAATGTGCTCGATTATTTTTATAAATTTTCAAGTAACAATAATTATGTATTTTGTTTTGAGACGATTTTTTCGAAGTGACATTTTTTTCTCGCTTCCCCTTTCTCTAGGGTGCAAAGGTGGTTTCAAAGTTTTGAGTGCATACTCAATCAATATATGCTAACAAGTGGCGAGTAACTCAAGTGATATTCCACATTTCTTGTGTAAGTTTCTCGTTACTTACTGCCAATGCTCGTACATCAACGATAAAAATGTTGTACAATTCTATAAACACGTGAACATACAGCCGCCGGACACTATTGTGCAATAATTTCTTTCTTTAGTCGTACGTTTTTTCATCGAATTTTTTTGAAAACGCGATTAATATTTAATGCTTTTGCCGAGACTCTATTTATCTGAGAGAGAATAAAAAATCGCTCGACGAGACTGAGTTAATTACTTAGATTGTATCCTATTATAAATGATGCATTGTTTTGTGTATCGTACAGCGTCTCGAGAATTCTCGATGAATTATTGAATATTGAAGGAATTTCTAAAAAGCTTGCGTCTAGGAGAGGAAAACTGGAAAGTTTCAGGGCACGTACAATCGCCTCGGCTGATAATCACAGGTGCTCCGAGGCTTTCTTTTTTCGCTTTATGGGTGTGCATACTTATTTTCACGAATTCTACAGGAAGAACCAGCTTTTTCGTTTTGGCCGGAGGGCCGAAAAGATCGGTTGCACGCGTGGCTGCGGGAAAGTTTTTTTATCGAGATTTATTGCGCATCGTTAATCGCGCGCTTCGAATGATTAAAAAAAAACTGCAGCTGCGAGTCCCGTCGATAAAGTTAAGAATAATAGCAAACATATTATACGGCACACGTGTGTCATGTGCTTGCACGCGCGCGCGCGGCTCAAGCGGAAAAACAGAACGCGCGCAGAGACGATCGTGTTTCACAATGGAAGCACGAGCGCAGTGGCAGCAACAGTGGCAGGTAACTCGATTACAACAAAAAGCGTCGTGTAGGCAAACACACACTCAACAGGCTGGCTCTATAACTCCGGTGCGCGAGCTGCACTTTTATATATTATATACTTGGCGGGCCGCTCGTTCTCTTTCTTGGCTTTAGCGCGCGCACCGCTGCGCCTCATAACGTTTATCCATGCGAGAGAGCTTTGCTCGCCTATAGATACTTTTATACAAAGCTGCACGCGCGACAGCCCCGATAATCGGATGAAAATTATTACAAAGCGAAGACCCGTCCCGAGTCGAGCCTGTCGTCGCATCTTTTTCTTTTTGTCCGTCGCGGAAGCGTATGTACGCAACTTCGATCTGTCGTCATCTTTTTCAATTCGCTCGTTTGCGACTCGAATCGGCCGCTATTCGATTCAGCCCAAGATTTCTGAATTTGTTAATTCGATTAAAGAAAAGCTGTCCTCTCTTGACGCGGCTCCAGTCGCCAGACGATACATTTGAATCAACCGAAATTAGAATGACTTGCAACGAATCGAAATATACGCACACGCTGGCATTATAGGCGTCGGGATTTATTATTTTTTATTGCGCTTCTTTCATGCGCGCACATAGCAGTGCGTGAATTTGGTCACGATGACTCGAGCCTTTTAACTAACACGACTCTACGACCAAATCGTTTACGATCGTCGCACGTGCACGGCTATACATGCCTATATGAAAAGACGCATCAGATTTATTTTCCAACGGTCAATTCAATCATGCCACGTGTTCTCGAGCTTTGCTTGGAAAAAAAATAGAGGAAAAAGCTCGTCGACAATCGATCGAGAAAATAACAGTACGAATGCGCTATAATTAAGTATCCGTTGGAATGAAAATGTCAAGGACTCGACGAAGAAGCGAGCAAAGTATTTATTTTCCGCGAGTAATGAGTTTTCCATTGGCCGGTTAACAAATTTGTTTTTTTCACTGCGCGCGGCGTTCCGATAAATCCACGAAATTTCGTAACGTCGCAACTATTCTTAAATTGCGGATAAAACGTTATCAATTGTTCGTAACTTTCGTCGTGCTCGCAAGAGCTGCATAGCACGTTAAAAATGTTTAGGTCAACTCGATGTGCTCGACGATTGACACATTAATGTCATATTTCTTCAGAGCTTGTTCTTACACAACATCTCAATATACAGACAATATAGATATCGGCGCTTGTATATCTGCACGTGGACAGTGTATACGTGATAGCGATATGATGCGGAGCTTTCAGCGACTCGTTTTTTTTTCTTTCTTATACATCCACTCCCGGAACTGCATTACTTAGCTGAGTTGACACACGCTTGTCGAAGCTATTTAGATTTGCGTTAATTTGGATAGAACGTCGCGTTCGCGATACTAATTTTCTTCGTTGTTGATTCATTTTCAATGTTTAACTGTCTTCCTTTTAACGGATTAAGGGCGGATAATTTCAAATATGCAATTTCAAATAATATTCATGAAATTTAATTTACTTCTTGTCCAATTACAATAACGTTTTTACTTCGTTTGCTCTCGAGTACTCTTCGAGTTAGCAGATAATAAGATTACATAAAATTGAATTATTTTTTTAGAGAAAGTCAAGCTGGAGATGTTTTTTTATTGAGCTTGTCCTTGACGGCGACATGAGATCGCTCGATGAAGAACACTTGATAGATATTAAAGATTATTGAAATTAAAAAAGTGCTAAATTTGAAAACAATATGTTTACTAAGGTACAATGTATTACATAAGAAGTTTGACAAAACTATTCTAAATCAAATATTTAATCAAAAAAGTTGGAAGCAAAAAGTAAGTGGTAAAAATCGTACAAAATTTTGTGAGAATCGGTGCCATATATTTATAAATAAAAGATAATGAAATCAAATTAGATAGATGTATGTACAAACTATGAAGATATTTAAAAAATCGCTAATCGTATAAATGCTAAATACTTTGGTCATGCAATCGTTTTGTATATTAATTTATAAAATATACATAATAACTCTGTGGTATAAGCTACATCATTATCTATATACGTGCTAACACATACATTATACTAAAGTTTAATAACTACATAGCTAACTCACTGTCTGTTATCGACAATCATGGTGATATGTGTGTGTGTCTGCCTGCGTTGAAGCGATCGATAGATAACTTGTATTTTTCACTAAATGTCTTTTCTCTATACACACGCTTTTATGTGACACACAACTGCAAAAAATATATTTGCGTTATATACAAAAATTTATGAAAAAAAATAATTTTTTATGATGGATTTATTTATGAACTACATATTAAATTATAGATATAATTTTCCCTCTATGTTTTTACTATTGTAACATAATGCGAGCATGACATTATTAACTTTTCAAATACCGCTGTTCGGTTTTGTTATTAATTGTCAAAGGCTTTACTTTTAGGTCAAGCAAAGTTCAATAATTAAATTAATTTCTGGGAAACCAAGATTCATTAAACAAGGAATTTTCATAACTTCATTCCTGCATCAAAATCGACTAGATCGTATTAGCATCATAAAAGTAGAATATAAGCTTTAAAATCGATAAAATATTTGTTCATTACGTGAATACGTTCTTATTTTGATAAAAATCGACTATAACGTTGAAGATGTCGTCATCCGGAAAGCACATAGAAAACATGAATTATAAGAAATGCGAAATATATAGAATTTTAAATATTATTGAGTTGAAAAAGAAAATAGTTGTTGTTTTATTTTCTGAGCGAATGCGGCAATTGCACATTAAATGAACTGAATACGTAATCGGTGATTAGATATACCGTAATTCATTGAGGCTAGTATGGTATAGCGGTGAAAATGTTTTGATTTTAGTATGAAACGAATGAGTTTCGAGACATGGGCGCGCACAAGCGACGATGCATCGAAACATGTTTTTTCGAGCGAAAGAACGATATTAATTTACATATACTCACGAGGAGTTGAATAACCGCGGGACTACACAAACCGAATGCAATTCGGAGTGTGATTTAGTAAGTTTACTATTTGGCACTATTAGCAGTAACTGATTGGCCAAAATCGAAATTATTTGAACGGGAACAACGAAGAGGGCATAAAAACAAAGCCCACGATATATTTTATAGCTTCGTCCAAGTATAAAGCCATGATCGGAGTTTCGCGTAAATTTTTAATGGCCCATTGCTGCCGTTTGTACGAACAATCTCGTCAACGATAATTCGTTTGGTCGAAATTTCTTTTATCTAAACGTCTAAATATCACTTTCGATTATGAAAAATACGTTGGAAGGGTCAAAAGTCAGTGTCGCGCGGGCTCACTGCCGCGTGACCCAGAAAACATCGATAAGCGACAAGATTCGTAAGAGAAAAAAAAATAAGTGCCACGGAGATGGCCGAAATAATTTCGCTTAAAAACAATTCCAGCAAAAAAAAACTTGCGCCACCGAGTGCGCGAGCCATGGTAAAAATAGATGAATTTTTAAACGGTCACTTCACCTTCTGTACAAGCAAACGAAATTCAGTTCAATGTCAAACCCTTTTTCAATGCACCACGTGCTGTGGGATGCTCGGCGCGTCCTCGCTGCCGAGAGAGTACATAAGAGAGCGAGAGACACAGACACAAATGGAGAAAAAGAGAAAAATCGGCTTATTACATAGGCCATTAGACTGATTGCAGAGGCGCATGTATTCGAATCGCGCATTATCATCAACGCCGCGACTGATAATAACGCTCTCTCCCTTCATTGCGCGCCAAGTTTTATTCCGTAACACTTAGCCATCGCTCAGTTTGACTTATGCGTCTGGCTCGTTTTATCGCGAAAGCACAGCGGGCCACTCGAACGAAGAATTCATCATCGAACGAGCCGATTACATTCGTACACCTCGTGCTCGATAATTTCACTTTCGCGTTAAAAATAAACCGCCGGCCAACTCAACGAGGTAACTGTAACAGCATCTCGTCCACATTATGCGTATACAGTATATACACAGATCATGATTTTGTTGGCATACCGCGGGATTCTTTCGGGTGCAAGGTCAGCGAGATTACAAAGATGCTTCATCACTATTAATCGAGCAAAATATTTTTCCTTTTCATTTCGTTCTCTCGTGTTCAACGCGAGTTAAGAGGACGAGCTACGATGAACGATGCAGCAAAAATGCAGCTCCATAATATCGCGTCGCGTGTCAACACTGCACAGAATCCACAGTGACTCGTAACGGTACATTGGCTCGTCGTCGTCGATATCTCGTAAGTTAACTGAAGTAAAAAGACCCCAGCGAGTCTTTGTTTCCGCGTGAAAGTAGATTTCCTGCGGGCACTCGATTGAGAGAAAATTCGATACGAAATCTCGAGCCTTTGGCTTAATTAACAAGTTTTTTGAGAAAAAATAGTGACGAAATTGATGGCAATCGTTCGACGCCGTGTCAGTGTGCTCCCGACGACATATGTATATCATAGGGCTCGAAGAAGAAGTCTCGTCAGGCACCAGCCAATCAATCAACAAATCACAACAAATGAATTTATCGGACGATGAAAAGTCTCGAGTCGATTTTTTCTTTATCGCTATCACTGCCGACGATCAGCAGCAGCTGGATAAAATTACACGTGCTCTCCTTGAATAATTTACTCTTCGCACACGAAACGGAACGAGCTCGTGTGTGCGCGCGGCCAATCGCGGAACGCACTGCTCCATTACAATGATCAATGTTATTGTTCGTATATTATGTGGTACTTACAGACGACTGAAAAACTGCAGCAGAACACGAGTTACGCGCAGAGTTGAGAGCCGAGGTTTTTTGCTGTTATTATTTCCAATTATATACAAGTAATCGCTCGGTTTATCGACGCAAAATAACAACGAGTACAGCAGGTACGAGAGCAAGAGATTGAGCAGCGACTATTGTGTTTACGTATAGGCAGCCTGCGAAGTCGCCAGGACGAGGAGCACTTGGAGGTTATATCGATCGTGTTTCGCAGCAGACGCTCTCGTCCCTCTGGAACTTTGATGCTTTCGATAGATTCGCCGAGCCGAGACTGAACTGTCAAAAGCTCCGTTTTTCACGACTTGAATCGTGCGCGAGCGGCTAAATTAGCGTCTCTCACTCTGGACAATTCGAGTCCCGTTATAGCACAGGTAGGATATGCATTCGCTCGTTCCGCGAACGCGGCATAGGTAAGTATCACGACGTATAGTATCGCGCGCACTGCAGAAAACTGCAAAAGGAGCTCTCTTCGGCCCGTAACACGGGCTATTATAAAATGTGCAGTTACGCGTTGCCTGCCTGCATTACCTATATCATTATATATACGCGCTACATTGTGCGCGCATCCCTACTCCTGTGGTGGCCGAGTTATATATACGTCAACGTGCGGCAGCTGCAGCGTGTTACGGAGCTTACGGGCAACGAAAAAAAAAAAAACAACAGCTCGGAGATGACCAAATCATTCGATATAGATGCATCGGCCCAATAGAGACTCGCTCGATATGCTCGCCGTGCGATACGATGTGCCGTACTACGAGATATAAGGTGCAAACGCGAGCGCAAGGTTACGCACACGCACACGCTCGCACCGATTATGTGTATGTACCGAGTAAATATACTATCAACTATGTGGATGCAGTCAAGAATAGCGTATTTACGAGCTGTCCTCGTCGTCACTCTTTCAGTATATATAGCAGCCACTCTTTCAGCAGCGATCGTGTGCACTTCAGTGGTACTGTGTACCTTATATCGACGCTTCGATTGCGGCTGTTCATATTTTTATACACAGACGCTAATGGCGCTAATGCAGACCCATATTCTAAGAAAAGTCAGCAGCTACCTGTTACGACGAAGCGAGGATCGTGCTAAATAAGAGAAAAGAATTGCACAAACGAACATAACCTATACATCAATTCGCACACGATGCCCTCAGCTTGTCTGCAATATGATTTTGATTTTGCTAAATGAATTTTTCGTAGTTTTTTTTTGGTTACTTATGCTCGAAGTAGGTAAATTTTGTCACCTGCATACTGCATTTGTGACACAGGAAGATAAGCACGCAAAGATAAAACGGGCGGAGCAAACACACATACGTGACGCACGCAGACACGCGCGCGAAGTACATAACACACATCTGCAGCAGGATCTAGAGAATAAGATACGTATACATTATGTCTATAGATGTGAGCAAATATAGCAACGCGAATGTAGGACGATTGGTAGGAGAGTATGTTACAAGCATGTGCATGTCGTTCAGCTTTTAGCTCGACCAAAGCTTGTGATAAAAAATGAATGATGCCGCGGTCACGAAAGAAAAGAAAAAGCAGCAGAAGAAAAACATTTTTTGGCGTTCGCGAGCTCGAGCGAGTCAGTCGATGCAACGAAGGATACGCGTGCAAGCTCGAGTAGCAATTGCAAGTTCAATTCAACGCTGGTATACCGCACGTACAGAGGTGGTTGGTGGTTTTGCACTCGCCGGACTCTTTCGAGTGCATCTGCTGCAGCAGGAGATAGGAGTGCGCGCAAAGCCTATATAGCTCGGTCAGAGAGAGAGAGAGAGATGCACATCGTATGCGCTGCGCCGAGCTTTGATGCGCCTAAGTTTAGCTTGCAGCGGAGACGCGTTAATTATAGAATTAGATAATCGGTCGAGAGAGCGATGCGGAGACGCAGCAGCCAAGCCTTGAGACAATCTGTAGACTCGACCGCTGCCCGCTTGGTATAGGTATACATGTACAGTGTACACAAATCAGAGAGGATATAGCCGCCGCGCTGCAATAGGTGCGCGTGCACGGATAGGTAAGTTGGCGCGATTCGAAGCTGCGGCAAGGCTGGCACGCAGCAGCAGGCCAGTCGTGATCGCAGCGCAATATCATTCGCTCAATACCAATGCATATGCTCGTGTATCGTACCTATTGGCGAGCCGCGCACGCGGTGCAGTGCAGCAGCGGCGAGTTCTGCTACATAATAATAATTATAATAATAATTATACGCAGAGTGCGAGGCGTTCTGCGGAGTACTGCCCAGAGGGAAAATTGAGAAAGCTGCTCTACTGCCTACTCTACCTATAATGCTGCTTTCTCGAAAAACAACCTGTTGACATTACATCATTATATGCGCGACTCTCCTTAC